CTAACTACAAAGACATTCAACTTTTGGGTAAATCTAGTTTTTACTAAAGCAATCTAAATTTTTCAAATATGTTAGATAGCTGACAGCTATCTAAATGATTTTTTTCTATATTTGTTTAGAAAATATATTTGTTTCTATATTTGTTAGGAAATTCTGCAACTAAGGATGACCACAGCAGTCTTATGGTAACAATCAAAAGATGAGATGTGTTCTTTGTCTCACAGTAGCTACCAAGATCGATAACTACTCCATAAGATCAAACACATTAACATGGAAACTTGTCATAAATCTGTGATTTGAAAGAGCTCCCTTCACCACTTCAAAAGTGGTTTTCTCTTTCCTTGGAAAAGCCTAGAAGATGGCAGAAATTGTGTACTGTCAAATAAGTAGTGATAAATCTCAATATGAGAAATGTGTGCAATAACCTTGGTGGTCAGGGGCTCGGATTTAGCCTGAAAAACAAAAAAGTACGCTTTCTCCCTGTTCAGACTTCATACATAATTATCACAAGGTTAAAATTGTGATTTCAAAGCCCATTAATATCTAGGAATGTGGTATTTCTTCTCCTTCTTCATGACTTCCTAGAGTACCGAAGAGTTTCATTTTGTTATTGTTCTCTATCAAAGGGTATCTGTTTTGAGGTATCTATTTAAATGCAATATCAGCAGAGAGTTAAGGATAGTTTTGAAGTCCCCTAGCATGACAATGCTCTTAATCCCTCTCACTGGATGAATCACAGCACCTCAGACTGTGCTGTGGCTGGCAGTGCCCTCTGGGCTCATCAGGGACACCAGAGCAGGAGCCCAGGCCCACATCCAGGCAGCTGCTGAAGGTCTCTGAGCAGCAGAGCCCACACACAGCCTGTGGGCAGCCTGTGCCAGCGCTCCGTCACCTGCACAGCACAGAAGTGCTCCTGGTGCTCTGAGGGAACATCCTGTGTTCCAGGTTGCACCCACTGCCTCTTATCCTGGCACTGGGCATCACAGGAAAGAGCCTGGCTCTGTCCTCTTTGCACCCTCCCTTCAGATACTGATCCATGTTGCTGAGATCTTCCCGAAGCCTTTCCTTCCATAGGCTGAACAGCCCCACCTCTCAGCCTCTCCTCATAGGAGAAGGGCTTCAGGCCCTCTGTCAGATTTGTTGCCCTGTGTTGGACTCTCCCCACTATGTCGGGGTCTCCCTTGTGCTGGGGGCAGAGGTGCAACTGGACAAAGCGTTCACCAGTGCAGAGTAGAAGGCAAGGATCGCTGCTCTCTACTTGCCGACAGCACTCCTTATTTCCCCAGCTTAATTTTATGCTCCAACTTTAAAATAGGGGGGAAGTGCAGAAAGCTGAGCCTTTTACTTACTGCTGTTACACAAGTAGCGTTAATGATCAGGACTGCTGAGGGGTCTGGAGCACAAGCGTTACATGGAGCGGCTGAAGGAACCGGGATTGTTCAGCCTGGAGGAGGCTCAGGGGAGACCTAATCCTCTCAGAACGAGGGCCTACGCCGGCTCCCGCTGCCAGGGGAACGGCCAAACGGCCGCCGGCAGCCCCACACCACCCACCGCCCGGCGGAGCCGTGAGTAGCGGGAGGCGGCGCTGCCCCGGCTGTGGGGGAGAGCCGGGGGAAAGTGCGGGGCCCTGGCTGCTTGTCTGCCTCGGGAGGAGCGCTGTTTGTGGCTACAACGAATACACCGTGCTTTCTGATATGCGGCCTAAACAGGGTTCTCAGTTTTCTGTTTCAAATACTGTCGTTACAGGAGTCATTTCTGAAGAGGAGTCAGAGATGAAAGTTTAGGGTTTTTGCCCTTTGGAGTTTATGGCGATTATTCTCTGGTAGTTTTGTCCTCTCTTTTTAGAAAACAGCATGTGTAAGGTAGAAAACATGGAAGGAGTTGGTGTGAAAGTTGTACCAGTGCTCGGTTACTTTCTGAAAGCTCAGGGGTTACTCTGAAGATAGTTTGAAAGCAGTGTGGAAAGGAGCAGCAGCCATTATTGCAGTGTTGCTAACTGGTCTCTCATTCCCATCTGTCTTGTTATTTCTTTGGGAAAATAATTAACGAGGAATAGGGGAATTCGTGGCAGGTTTAGCGAACGTGCCTTAGCTCATAGTGCTGTGAAGTTCTGGTCACGTTCCAGTTGTGGGAACCTGCGTGAATACTGAGGAAATATGTATCAAACATCTTGAAGTGTCAGCTGTCACAGAATCATAGAATTGCTGAGGTTGGAAATGGACCTTAAAGATCATCAAGCCCAACCACAACCTAACCATGCTACCCTAACAACCGTCTGCAAAATCATGTCCCTGAGCACCACATCCAAATGGTTTTTAAGCATGTTCAGGGATGGTGACTCAACCACCTCCCTGGGCAGCTTATTCCCAGCTTAATAACCCTTTCTGTAAAGAAGTTTTTCCTGCTATCCAACCTAAACTTACCCTGGCGCAACTTGAGGCCATTTCTCCTCATCCTGTCAGTTTCACGTTTCACCAGAATTTCTCTATCAACAGTCCTTTCTTGCAAATTCTTCCCCACTGGTCATACTGAGATGTTGTTTGGACGTTGAAAGGCTGGTTGTGATCCCAACTGAAAATCCAGTATGTGATCATGTTGGTTAGGGAACTAGGCTATTCTTTCAGATTGCCCTGCTTGTGAAATGTGCTATGCTTGCTAACACAATGAAATACTTTTTGAATATGCTTTTGGGAACTTAGGGATCTGCTGAGGTTGTGGAGGTGTTTGGTCTGCAGCCTTTTAAGGTTGCTCCTCATGGAATTGCAGCCTCTTTCTTTAGTGAGACAGTGCCAGTGTTAAATACAGAGATCAATTTTGGATTGCACATAAAACAAGAGTACTTTCTTATTCCTCTTTTAGTACTTGCTGCAGTTTTGGATGAAATTATCATTTGGAAGATTGTGATCCACACAAAAGTTAATACTGCAGTATTTGGCCCCAAATATGTTGTATCATCTGTTAAAATTCCTTACAAGTTTTAGTGGAATTGATTTAAATGACAATGAAATTATTTTTCCTGGTATTTTCAAGATGCATACTGAACGATTATGCTTGATGTTAAAAGAGAGTTTGGAGTAGAAATAGATATTGAATGATTAAGAATGATCATTACTTGTAAAGCGGTAAAAATCTCATAAGGTAAAGAAGTCTGGTTATCCATTCCAGCTTTCTGTGGATTTCCTGAATTGGCATTGCAGTCTGGTTTCCTGTATGTTTTCACCTTCACCTTTCACCTTCACAGCAAGGCAAGAAACAATGAGAACCTAAGAAAATTGGAATTGCTGAGACCTTCCTGTTTGAGTTCAAGGGACTTGATACACAACACTTGTGCCACTAACAGTGGTGAGGTAGTGCATTACAGTAAATCTCCTAGGCTAGCTTCATCCACGTAGAAGGAAGGACCTTCTATTGGCATAGTTCATCTCACATTAAGGAAAGGCAACAAGCATTATGCCACTCTGTGCATGTGGATAGGAAATGAAATTCTCTGCCTAGCAAAAAAAAAAAAAAAAAAAGGAAAAAAAGGGTATTTACATGAACTTTGATCTGTGCACACTCTGTGAACTGTTACGTATGTGAGAACATAACTGTGGTAAAGAAATTTAAAGACAGAATGAATAACTAGCAAAAAAAGCCAAAAAACAACCAAAAAGCCTCTTCCACGTTCTTTTTGCTCAAATATGTAATAAAATCTCATAATTTTTTTTTTAATATTTAATTCATTTTACTCTGTATTTTTAGCTTTGTCTGTAAATTTAAGTTTAATTACTGAATCGTAGAGCACAAGCAGTGAGTAAAGTTAATGGTCACATTTCATGGGTAAAAAGATTTACGATTCAGGATGTGTCACTCTGGAAGGTAGACAATAAGGAAGCATGAGCTTGAGAAAACAGCAGTTCCATTCAGCTTTGGGGTACTGTTGATTTTTTTAGGTATCAGTCTTCTCTTTTTTTTTTGTCATGTAAAACTTTGACTGGGATCTGTCATCTTCTAAGGGTGTCTTGCAGAACCAGAACAGAAATGTGCTCTTAATGTAGCTCTGTTGAAATGTGTATGTTAGCCTTTCCTTTTGAATGTTTATAAAACAGCCACCTGAAAATGTATAATTAAAAATAATGTTCTATTTTATTTTTAACAAGATTTTCTATTAATTTTATTTTTTAAACAAGGCAGCATCAAGAATTAATTAGCTGCTCAGATCTGAGCGGTGCCACGAAATGCATCTTGCTCCATCTGAACAAAGGAATGTTTTTATGGTTACTCAGCACTTGGTCTGGAGCTTGGCAAGATCTCTTTATGCTAGAAAATGCACAGATGCAATTTCATGTCTTTTAGCAGTGTGTTATGTTCGTTTTTCTTAAATTTTAAATAGACTGTGTGAGCCTGCCAAATTTTCAACACACTTTTTCCTAATCTTTCTGACTAAACTACTTATATAATATACATAGTAGCTAAAATTACCACTTAGCTGCAAGTTCCTCCTAAACATAAAAGAATAAAGTACATACAACTTGATGGAAAATCAAATCAAGATGGATGCATCATTTTAAATGCTTATTTCTTTTTTTTTTTAAATTTTAAAGATTTATTTTTTAAAACAGTATGGCATTGTCCTGCTGTGAACACACCGTATGTTACTGATGGCACTGGGGAACAATGGAGGCGATGTGAGAAGCTGCACCGCAGGGGCTTGCCACATGCTCCCACTGGGACACAGTGCCTTGCTGAGAAGAGGTGCAAGAACTGTTCAGTGTTCAGGATCATTTACAATTTGAGATGGACTGGAGAAGTCAGAGAATAGGGTGTAAATAAGTAAAAACAAGTATGAAGTACTATGTTCTGTGCGCATTATTTATATTTAGTAGAAGAAAATTCTAGGTAAGGTAGTAGAAGATCCATAGCTTATAGTGTGAAACACAAAAACCAGTGTCCTGTTGTTGTGACAGAACCGAGGGTTACTCCAGGATATGAAACCAAAAGCATTGTGTAATACTTCTTAGCACTGAGGCATCAGCTGGAAAGCCACATCCTCTTCAGGACACATGTGGAAGGACCTGGACCAGCTGAAAAACATGTGGAAGAAAGCAGCGGAAAAGCAATAAAAATATAAAGGTAGAGGGGTTAGAAGAATTTTATCTATTCAGCATATAACAGGGAAGAGAAAGCTTCTCAAATGTTAAATAAATTGTTTACAAGATGAAAGGAATCATTTTCTGTGTCCATAGAGATACGGCAAGATTACATTATACTTTAGCAAAGCTGACTAATGGTGAAAATAGTTGAGTTTGGTTTAACTTTGCAGAGATTCTTTATAAAAACTGTCAAAATGAGATTTTAAAGCAGGTTCAACAACATTTGTTAGAAATGGTTTGGATTTAGTTAAAACTGCCCTGGATCTTTCAGTTAATTGAGATATTATTTTGCAAATGAAATCTGTCTTCACATTCTACTGTGCTCCAAAAAATAAAATAAGTTTCTACTTAGTTTTACCCCCTTCTGTTTGTTGTGGAATTTTTAAGTGCTTAATTGAATGCACAATTTCCTTTTTTCAATTTACAGATCCTCTGTCATTTTGTCCTTATGTTGTCCCATTCCAGTTTTAGTTCTGTGTCTCATCTACCCTCTTTTTCTTTTCCCTTTAGATTTGTCATTTATTCTTCGTTATGTTCTGAACTTTTCAATAATTACCTTTCCATACTTCATAATAAGTTTTTCAGCTTTGCCTTGCAAATGCCCTTCATACCTGTGAATTCCCTCTCACCCACTATACTTCAGCATTGCCCGCATGCTCATGCTTGTTGCTTTTTGGTCTCTTTTTGTCTTTTTTTTTTTTTTGGTCTTTTTTTACCTTGGCATGTGAAGAATGTTGTCTCTTTGCCCTCTACCTAAGATTATGAAGTTTAAGCTCTTTCTAAAAAAAAAAATGGATTTTTGATCTTTGATGGAAAGATTATAAAAGAAATGACTGCAGTCACTTTAGGTAGCTTCCACTTAAGGAGCTGGTTTTGGTTTATCTAAGGAAACAAGTATGCTGTTGCTGTAAATTGTTTGTCAGTGCTTGTCCTCCAGAAGCTTTTCAAACATAATGTCAGATTATTGCATACACCTGAAAGGAGGTTGTAGAGAGGAGATTGGCCTTTTCTTCCTACATAATTAGTGATAGAATGAGAAGAAATGGCCTCAAATTGTGCTGATGAGATTCAGGTTGTATATTAGGAAAAATTCTCAGGAAGAGTGGAATTGGAACAGGCTGCCCAGGGAATGGAGGACTCGCCGTCCCTGGAGGTGTTTAAAAATATGTGAATGTGGCACTGAGGGCCTTGGTTATTGGGCATGGTGGGGATGGGCTGGTGGGGACTAGGAGATCTTAGAGGTCTTTTTTGACCTTAATGTTTCTGTGAGTCTATGAAATTTCAACCAGATTTGATAGGTTAAAGTCTCAAGGATGTTGAGTTCCTCCAAGTTTCATGAAAACTGGCAGCTGAGTACGGGGAGGAAAGACTCAGATTATTTCCTCCCCTATAAGAAAGAATCTATAAATTAACTCTTATTCTGCAGGGTAGCGGTCAGCTGGCTAATCTGCTGTCTTTCTGGTTAGCCAGACAACATTTGTAAAGCTCCAAACCCGTTGTATCACATGCACATGACCGGAGGGAATAGCTAAGGAAGCTGTGTTGGTCAGGTTCTTTGGAAGAACCAGGAAGAACTGGATTTCTTTTGGGGGACCTTTGTAAAATCAGACTTTATTGATTCTAATGGTTTTGGGAACTGCTGCCTTTTTTGGGCTGTAAAATGTTTTTAGCAGCTTTTCTCTGCTCTGCAGTAACAGAGAGCCCATCAAGTGTTAAAAAAATAACCATTTTTAAACACTTAAGTGGTCTTTCATTCATACGTAATTTCAGACTAATCCTCTTTTTATCTTCTCTTTTTTATGAAAGCCTGTTATCCTTCAAAATTTGGCTGGATCACTTCCAAAAATTCATTAAGGATTTGACCCATTAATCTCTGTACATGTGCAGAGTAGATACCAGAAGGTCTGGGGAAGCCAGGTAAGCCAACAGTGATGTTGTTGATACTTGAAGTTAGAATACTGTGTGCTAAAGAAAGTTTTGGACTTTGCATCTCTGTTTTTTGTTGTTGTTGTTGTTGGTTTTTTTTCAGTGCTGACAATGATGGAATCTTGTGCCATGCTCAACACCTTAAGAAAAAGCTTTAGGTTTCCAAGAATTAAAGTTGAGATTAAGTCTATATATATTCTTTTTTTTAATTATTTGTTCTTCTGTTTTGCATTACTGAACTCTTTCTGAAATTCTGGTGTTTGTATTCCTGAATATTGAAACTGAAGGTATTGATGGTAATGAACAATGTAAGGTGATTCTGAAACAGCTAACTCAGAGCTAAGATACTGAGCAGACAAAGCTTGAAAAGGAAAATAATGGAATAGGTCTAGTTTTGAAGTAAAAGCATGCAAGTCCAATGGTCCTACCTTTCACATAACCACAGGATTGTTGTTGGTTTGTTGGTATTGTCGGTATTTTTGTGTTGTTTGGCTTTGTTTGTTGGTTGTTTGTTGGTTTATGTTTTTCTTTTAAGATGCTTCTGATTCATTCTGACAGCTGATAAAGAAGTATAGAGGAGTTTGTAGCTAAATCAGATTGGTTGAATTGACTTAATTTCTCCCTGCTGGATGTATGTTATAATGCTGTTGAGAAAATGATGCTGTTGTAAGACTGACTGCCAGCATATCTAGAATAGTCCTTTTTTTTTGCTGCTATTTCGTGGAAGTAAAGATACAAGTATTCTTGTTCAATATGAACCTCATTGCAATTGGAAAGGAAATAAGTTTGTCACAGGCTATTTTTTTTTTCTGAAATTTCTTTAGAATTGAATTTCTTGAAATTCAATTTCTGAATGTTTGATTATTAATGTATTTTTTATTATAAAATAGTATTTTGATTTTAATGTTAATAGAAATGACTTGATTATCACTAAGTAAAAGATAAGCAGTAATTAACTGTGTGGTTTAATAGAATGTGAAATAATATATTCTAAGTGTAAAAGAAAGGAGAATGAATTAAATAAGAATATTTTGCATTATGTCTGTTAATACTTGATCTCATTTTTTGTTTCTTCATTACCCTATTTTTTAAAAATGGAGTTCAGAAGTGTCAACATTTCTAATGCTCAGAATGGGAGATGTCATTTGTATGAACATATGCAGCAATTATGCCAAAACTAAATTTCTTCCCTTCTGTGGTTACTATGGTAACCAATATTTACTGTATTTCATTTAGACATATACAACAGAATGGAAAATGCTAGGTTTAAGCTTTAGTAATCTTTGCAAAAAAATATCATGCTATTGTACATGATATTTTAATTATGAGTAAAGGGATGGATCAAATAACTAACATGCTTAGTAGCATGAGCTTTGGTAGGAATCATCTTTAAAACATATTTGAATGATTCTTCTGGTAATGGAATTTCAGATGCTCATTTCTAATAATTGAATTGAATTAGTTTTTTGCTTGAGCAGAGATTGTTCCTACCACTGTCAGATCTCTTTGACCTCGCAAGAATAAGAAAGAGGTTAATGTGAGGGATGCTCCAAAAGTAATGCCTTCTATTTTATGATATTGGCACACAAGGTCAGAGGTGGATGTTGAAGGTATGGCAGTAGAGGTTGAACCTTCCCACCAATTCTCCATTGTTTTTTGTCACTGTATGACGTATGGCAACAGAGGAACAATCTGACAGAATGGCAGCTGACCTGGAAGTGTGTGGGAAGCAAAGGTGTGTCATTAAATTCCTCCATGCAGGAAAAAATGGCAGCCATTCATCAATGCTTGCTGAACGCTTATGGAGACCAGCCAGTGGATCTGAGCACAGTGAGGCAGTGGGTGGTGTCTTTCAGCAGTGGTGACATTGATAGTCGGTCATCTCCACTTGTGTAGATGTTTATGAGCGTGGCATTCAGGCTCTTGTTCACCTATGGTGAATATGCAGAGCTAATGATGATGACTGTATTGAAAAACAGTGTTTTCTAGCTGAGAATTTGCTCTGTCAAATAGTGTTATTGTGCTCTTTGTGTCTGTAGGATATAAATAGAAGGAATTATTTTCAGAGTAACCTACATATAATGTTTTTTCTAATCATTAGGCTGCAAAATACTGCACAATAATGCTTGAAACACAGTTGTTTTCCTACTCTTCTAAGGACACTGATGAACCACCTCAAGGTATGTCAATATATCTTCTACTATATGGTTTTCAAATAGCTTAATGAAAGGCTTAAATTTAAGACATTATTATTTTCAATTTTTATTTTAATAGTGTGCAGTGCTAGTTCTCTTTTGTGGTTTTTATCTGTTACGCTACTCAAAATTCTTCATAGCAATTATGCATTTGTATACTTTGAATGTCAGTCATTTACTTAGTGGTGTCACTCAATCATCTAATCACAGTTCAGTTTTTCTATCTAGAGAAAACATTATTAGCTGTATTTCACATGGCATTTACACTTTTTTTTTAGATTTTAAGAAAAATCTAGTGAATGATTCCATTTTCTCACTGAGTTCTATATATAACTTGCTTTTACAAATGTCTTAGAAGACTTGTGACATTGTTTGCTTTTGCCAATGAAAATCAAGGAAGTAAGAGATTAATCTTATTTTCTTAATGCCGTTCAGGTGTTTCTGATTTTTTTTTTTAATGGAAGTATTCTTAGGTATATAGAGGCAAGAACATTAAATAATTTTTACAACAAAATTAATATTCATTTGGTAAACTGATAAAAAAAAAAATAGCAGCAGAAAAAGCTAAGTGAAATTGAAGTAATATTAGTCTAGAAATGTGAACTTCTGTAAGCACAGAAAGATCCAATGTCTGTATACACTTAGTCCAGATGGTGCAGCATAGGCATCCTGAGAAGGTTGCTCTGGAAAGAGGCTGAGGAAGATCACAGAATAGCCAAGGATCATGAATCTCCAACTCCCTGCCAAATGCAGGGCCACCAACCTCCCCATTTAAAACCAGACCAGGCTGCCCAGGGCCCCATCCAACCTGGCCTTGAACACCTCCAGGGACGGGGCATCCACAACCTCTCTGGTCAGCTGTTCCAGCATCTCACCACTCTCATAGTAAAGAACTCCCCTCTGACAGATCCTGTGAGCCCATTTTAGTTGGTTCTGTTTTTCCAGCAAAATTTTGCAAACTGTCTTTTCCTTTCCAATAAAGCTGTTTACCATGAAGTAAGTGTATGTAACCCATAGCCTTCTGATCTTCTAGTCTAACTATTTTAATTAAGACACTGAGAGATTATTCTTTAAACAAAATAAATAAATAAACAACACAGCCACCTACAAACTGTATGAAGGTTGACTGCTAATATATCTATTTTACTCTATAAATATTATTGTTATTTTTTGTAAATATCCAACACACATTAAAGCACTGTGTTGCCCTGAACATAATTAGGTTAATGTTCCATGTTTGTAGGACAACTGATCACACTTTTTAATTGCTCCTCTGCTAGATTTCATTGTCTCATGGTGATTCATGATGACTTTCATTAGTGATCCCTGCTGTCAGACTCCCCTTCTATGTATCAGTTGAATAGATAACATTCAGTAGTGTGACAGAGTGTAATTTATCTATGTCATTATAAGGCAAGCACACTTGAAAGAAAATGTAGCCGTGAAACCTGAATGTTCTTATGGAACAGTTATGTGCCATGTAGCTTGAATGTCCCAACTCCAGAACTGGCCTTCTGGAACTTCATTCCTTCATATGATTGAAGCCAATGCTGATTGGCACTAGGTATCATATGCACAGGAGTTGGCTAAGCTTGCCTCTTTGAGCTGTAAGACCTCTTCTGTTTGGCTCTGGGCTTCTCTTCAGTAGCTACCAGCCTTGCTTTTTGGGGTTTTGATATTATTCTTACTCTTTGGACAAAATCTTCACTGAGGACTAGCCTAAAGTCATCAAACTCAATTAATTTGGGATTAATTTTATAAAATTAATTATAGAAAACTGATATTCTGACCTTACCCCTTCTATCACGTTTTGTCTCTCTGATGTTATTCCATCATATTTTTTCATGCACTCATTTGTCCCTCTCTTCTCATATTGAAAAGGAATGACCTTTTCTGTGTAATGTGTGCATGGCAATAGATGCAGCAGTTGCATTCTCTTAGCCAAGACTAAGGTTTGTCAGGTTTCAAATTAAGGGACAAATTCAAGTATCAGACTATTTGGTATCAGCCTTCAGGTAAAGCTTGGCAACATTCTGTATTCTCATTGTTTCTGCAGATGAGTGGACCACCACAAGGCAGCGGAGCTGTGCTTTTGTAAATACTCCATTACCATGTATTAATAAAGCCATTCATCACATTCAAGAGTTGGAAGTAAAGATGGGGAAATACTTTCAACAGGTACAGTTATGGTTGAAAATGACTGAGCTCTTTTTATATCAAATGTATTTTAAAATAAGATTACTATGGTGATTTTCTCTCCTTTATAGCAAGCACTGTTTTTTTCCTAGAGAGTACTTAACAGTTCCTTGATTAAATCTTCTCTCTTATTGAGAGCCATGAATTTGAAAATGTAATGGTCCTTTTTCTAGCAATATATGATGTTTTCATAGCCTAAATAGATTTTGTGAATAGAAACAAGAGTAAAGGGAAGCTGAAAATGGGTAGCTAGATGAAGAAAGAGTGCAATACATTGTCTTTTGAAGTACAGTAAAATCTTCCTATTAACTTCCTTGAGAATATGATCAGTTTTATTTAAATAATTCACAGTGGAGTGTTGGAGTGTTTTCCAAATTTTTAATAAATTTTGTGTATGTCTACACTGCAGTAAGATCTGATTGCTACTGTTGCAAACAAGTTATATTTAAATAATTTAGCTCCAGTATTGACTGTGTTGTAATCACTGAGGTACATCAGAAAGACTATCACACTTTAGTCTTCTACTTTATTAAATGCTTTGCAGTGAGATTTCTGCAACTACAGAATAGGTACTGGAGGAATCCAAATTGGATAAGCTATAAGAATATCTTGATATACAATATAGATGTAGGTAGGGAATTTTGTATTGCCTCATTCACTTTGAGTTAAAATAAAGTGAGAATAGTGAAGTTATTTGTGTGATAATTTTGTTATTCCTGTGCATGAATTAAATGAGGAAACACTGATCTGTCCAGATGTTCATTCATTTTAATGTATATGCTGTCTCTTGTGTATTTTCCACTTCTAATTTTGTGTATGTCAATTGTTTATGGGCTGGTTCAGCCCAATTCTGTGACCAGCGGGGTGGAGGGATTTCACAAAATCAACGCCTCCAGAAAAGGGAAACAGGGGACCCCAAAATAATTAAAAACAGTGGCAATGATCTGAGGAGAAACAAACTAGTTACTAAATATGATATCAGAATGCAGGATAACACACTATAATACAATATAATTAGAATTGAAACCAATTAATCAAATATAATGAGTGTCTGGAAGGTGGATAGGCCTCTCCATAATGCTGAGGTGAGATGCGCAGTGTGGTTGAGCAGCAGGGAGGAGAGCCTGATGAAGAAGGGGAGGCCAGATGTCCTTACCAGGGTAATATCTTCTCACTGGCTGCAAAGCCCCTGGGCTCTGATATTTGATTAAATATAATCAGTAATGTGTCCAGTTGACATGGAAAACCTCATATGTATATTGTTATATTCTTACCCTGAAAAACAAGAGAGACAGTATGTGCAGGGCTTTGGGAACTGCTTTATCATTCTTTCCAATTCCTGAACTGTTTGGAAATTGGGAGTGATATGGGTATGTGGTAATTGTAGCAATAAGTTTTTGTTACAATCTTATGATGCAGTTGATAATGTTTCTGGGCCCAAAAAATTTGCCTGGCAGCTTTTAATTTACTGTTCTGGACAGAAGTCTAATGAAGGAAAAGCATAGAATGCTCAGGCAGAAACTGTCCAATAGTTTTGAGATTTAATTACAGAGATTAAGAGTGGCAATATAATTAACAATGTAAAAGGATTTTAAAAAGCTTTACAAAACTGAGTAATATTTAACGTGTGTGTACAAAGAATGGGTTTCATTACCAACCATTTGGAGATCCTTACACAGGTTTTCAGAATTCAAAACCTTCGTAATTATTTAAAGATATTAAGAAACACAGATCTGTATGCACTTTGATTATATCCTTTTACAATACAAAGTTCAGTAGTCTTTTTATTAGGTAACAGACAATTATGTGTCGTCTGAGATGTGTAGTGAAACTTGTCTTTTATTTTGCAGTATGACCGTGTGTTTAAGGAGGAGAAAAAGCCGTGGTAAGAATTATGCATACAAAATCATACAAACTGCTTGTTTGTTTTTATGTCAGGTAAACTTTTGATGAAAAATTAGCGTGACTATAATGCCTTCTCTGTGAACTTTAATGTTTACCAAGTTCTACTATTGTGCAGAACATAGCTAAAATAAGCATTCACAGTGCCTGCAGGAACTATTTATGTCAGGAGACCAAAAGTGTTCATGCACTATTATGTCTTTCCTATTCTGTGTTTAATATTCAAAGATTCAAGGGGATCTTAGGACCCACCTAAATGGTAACTTTTGCTGTGAAGTGCAGTTCAGTTATTGATACTTCTGACATTGCGCCTCATCTGAGATATTTAAATATGGCTCAGTATTCCCACTTTAAGTTCTCATTGTTTTGAGTTATGAGATACCCAAAACAAAGCTGACTGTGTAATTTTAAATTGAATTATTTGTGATGTGGGCCACTTTATGATGTCGGTCTCATTACAGTGATTAAAAAGAAGAGTTTGAAGAGGAGAATGTATCTCATGCATTCAGCTTGTCTTGGCTGTTTTGCTCAACAAAGCATTTATTTCTGTGTGTATTTTTGTGTCACATATGCCTATTGAGTCATTCTGTGTTTCTTATTTATCCAACTCCTCTTCGCTGAACTTCTGCTTCTATATCTAATTTGAAATCTCTTCTGTTACCAAGTCCCATTTTTCTTATCAAATTTCTTATTATTTCCCATTACTGGAATCTTCCCAGTAACTTAGATGTAACAATCAGAGGCATCAGTTCTTTTTTTTTTCTTTTTTTTTTCTTTTTTTTTGCTTCACAGAATCAGTACATTTTTGTGGATTGCTTTCAACTCTGGACTTTCACATTGTGCATCGATGTGTGGTATACCAGTTTGATTATAGATTTCATTTTGTCTTCACTGCATGTGACAGACCTGTATATACTCTTTAACCTGCACACGTGGGCATATATGGGGGGTGGTTATCCTTCATCACCTTGTTCTCAACTCCAGTAGGCTAATGAGCCTCTTGAGGTCTTCTGAGACTTCTAGTTTGTTTTTGTTCTTTAATTATTTGGATTGTTTATTTCCCTTTCTCACTTGCAGATTAGATTTATCTCAGTCTTATTTTAACAAAAACCTCCTTTTTTCTGCTTTTGAATTTCCCAAGACTTCAAAAGGTTCTCTGCTGGAAACTGATGAAGCCATTGTGTTTCTAAAAAATCTTCAATTGCTTTTCTTCATTGTTGACCCTGAAATTATTACATCCCTTAAGGTGATAAAACTGAAACTACTTCTGACTTGCACTGGCAATGCATCTCTGTCTGAGGGTGACATTTGATGCTTCTGCTGCTGAGAAGAGTCTGCAAAGTGTAGAGTATATAGATCCTTTCGCTTCAGAACTTGGGCAGAATAACAACTTATCCTCATCGGTTTCTTTGGCAAATCCTTGGGTGTAACAACAGAGTTGGTCTGTGTAGGTACAAGATGTTAAGGAGTCTATTTTTTGTATTTCTGTAAATAAATATGAGGAAAATCATTTATATGGGAGTTACACAATTAAAAATTCTTTTGAATAACTTGCATTCTTTTTTTTAACAGTAATTCTATATAATCCAGCATTTAAGATACAAGAGTGAAGAAAGGCACTTCTTAGTAAAAGAAATATTTATGTAACAGTGCCACTTTAAATTCAGTCTAAAATTTTTTAGTGACAGTGGGTTTTATCCACAGGATAACAGAACAAGTCAGTGCTGAATCTAATGAAGATACCTGGTTATCATTATCAACTAGTTTGGATTTTCAAGATGCTATTGTATCTCGTGAAGGTAAAATGCTTTATAGTACTCAGTACAGTACTCAGTCTGAGTGGAAATAGCTACTTGCCCTCATTTAATATATGCTTTGCATTTAATAATGTTTGCTGGCTGCTTGATAGATCTTATGTAAATGATGTGTGCATCCTTTGAAATCTAGCGGTGTATCATTTGTCAAGCTGAAAGACACATGGATTTTAAATGTTATATTAAGTACCATGAAATCATCCTGTTTGCAAGATGGTAATTTACATTTTTCTATGTAGATTTATACTGTACTTTAAGCCAGCAGAACAAATTATTTTGTGTTTTGTTTAATTTCAGTAACACATGTAGCTGCATCACTGTTGCAGGGTTTTCACAAATACACTCCTGACATGAAGTTACATTTCTTACAGTTGGCATCTTTGTTCAAATTAAATGTTTTTGAATTGTTTTCGGTATTCAAGAGTCTGTGTGCAATTCACAGTGCAGTCTTTTCAGTACTGCTAACTCAAGTTGATCCTGTCTACAGTGAATTGTATAATACACTTTTTGTTGGCAGCACAGCTAAAATCCAGATTTTAAGTAGCTATCCTTATTTTCAATGCTTACAACTTTTAATGAAAATAATTTGAGGAGTTACTGATCATTGACTGTAGAATTTAAATGGAAATGCTTTGAATTCTGCAGTTTATGCAATTCTTTTTTTTTTTTTTTTTTTTGTAGATCAGGTTAAGGATGATGACCTCAAAAATATTTTACCAAAAGCAGTAAGCTAGGACATTTTTGTTAGCCAGATTTTTACAAAATAAAATGTTGATGACCTATTTGTATCATGATGAAAACCAGTGTTGTGTATTGTTGAGATACTTCACTGAATATTCTTAGAATTCTGAGAACTTTAATGAAGTCATTGATATTTCCTGGGGAACATAAAATAAGTGTTCTTAAAAACAACAACAACAAAGATATAATGAAGAACTTGGGGTAACCACTTATCCAAACAACAAGACAAAAATGAAAATTGTGTACCATCTCTATTAGTGTGTTTTTGGAAATAAACTGGAGGAAACATGCAAGATTTGTTTGCAGCCAATTTTTGCTTGCCTTGATACATGTGAGGAGGCTGTCTTTATGTTGAGGATGACTGCAGAGTGTAAGTTTAAGCTATCATAAGAAATAATGATAATGTATTATTAAAGAGTAATGTAACTAATTGTGCTTACTGTGATACACACAGACAGGACAACTTTGTGTTCAGAATGAAGCTGGAATAAAGAGCCTGTGATTAAGCTTTCATAAAAAAATAATATTTAATGTATTTTTAAAGACAGCAAGACGTTAACCTTGAAGCAGGAAATAGCAGCTTTGCTACTGGAAGTTACTAAGCTAATTAAGCGATTGGAGGCTGATCGTATGGAGGCAGAAAAAGCTTTGGAGCAGGAGAGACAGCGAAGGAAAAAGCTTGGCATGGAAATTGATAGCATGTCACTTTGGAGGCTTCAGCACTTCCCTGCTGCTGTGCAAAAAGGTATCACTACTGAAGTTAAGAGTATTTGTTATTTTCAGTCAGTTCATTACCAAGGAAAATAATTACACTGTGAGGATAGTTGTGTTTACTGTAACAGAACTGCAGTACTTACTCTTTTGAATTTGGCATGCTTAAATATATATCCATAGGGGAAAAAACCAAAAACAACTCAAAACACACTATATTACATAGTTCTAAACTGTGTAGTAGTTTAGTATTGTTTGAAGAATAACTCAAGAGTAGGCAATGCACTTAAGATGATGAGAGATACTTTTGTTAGGGCAGGGAATCAGAAGTTTGAACAGAACTATAAAATAATGCAATTGTGCTAAACTGTAGAATAAACCATCAATTTAAATAAAATAAAATGTGATAAACTTGATTAAAGTATTTGCATGAATAGTTGGATGTAACTATTGATAGAATTTCTCAAAATCCCGGATTCTAAGGACGTTTAATGTTACCTTCTGTGATTAGCTGGCATCTACACAATAGAATTAAAAAAGCAAAGAAAAAAAAAAGCACATACTTTGCAGCTGTTTGCTATTTGTCTTCTGACTCACAGATCATAATGGGAAGTAGGTATCATCTGAACCTAGACTGAAAATCTGATGCCTGTGGGAAAACATGTAACTAGAGGAAAATTATAAGCATGCATGTATTACACTTGTCTGTTAGCGTGTAATATGTCAAATGTCACTCATATTCGTTGACAGTCCTAGATTAGTGATCAGGGTGGATTGCCAAATTCTCACTTAATATTATAGCTTTTTTATGTTTGTATTCTTAATACTGCAAAATGCTGACAGCAGTCTTAAAATCACCTATTTTTAGCTGGGATCATCTACTCTTTTTAAGGTTACCATGCCATTCTTTGCCCTTGAAACTTATTCACTTTTCTTTCTACCTCTTCTGGTTTTCTTCTACATACTGTGATTTCTGTTCTTTGGTCATATTCATTACTCATTTTAAGTACATATCCTGATCGCATAGAACAATTTTTTTTTCTTTAGTAGCGTTACTGTGTAGGAGATGAATGCATATCAAATTATTCTTAAGAATCTCACCCAGCTTTTTTTATTGAATCACGTAAGAGTTTGTAGAAAAAATGAAAGTAATTTTAAGAATTCTGAAAGTCCTACTGGAATTGCAGTTCCAGAATAATTTAAACCTTTCAGAAATAAAGTGGCATTTTCTGAACTATTCCGTAGTTAGGAATCACCTAAGATACACCCAAAGCATGTTTTTTTTCCTGTGTGCTTTGTCAAACAAGATATTCGTCACTGTAGAAGATGTTAAGAGAAACAAATGCCTTTCATCTTGGTGTTTAAAGAAACAAAACATGACAACAAATAGCATATAATTAACAGTGCTGGCAACCAGAGCCTTGATTACAAATTTTAATGAATTCTAATGAGACATTATTGAGGAGAGCTTTGAAAGACTAGGAAGAAACTTAACTACATGGTACTCCAGAGAAGCAGGAGAAAGTAAATTGTCTTTCAATCCATAGAACAAATTCTGCAAAAAATAGTTGCACTTTTGCCTTGTCACGTAGAGTTTCAAACTTGTGTGGCCACAAGCACGAGTTCTGGTTTGTGTCATTTGATGATTTAAACAAAATGAAAACTAGAGGACATGTTAAACATGCTTAATTTTGTCAAGGTGAAGGGATTTTCTAAGTGAAAAGAATGAAGTTCTGAAGATGACAAGAGTCAATTTAATGCAGAATCCAGAACAAATAATTTTCTACTTCATTTAGAAGAATCTTTTAATAACAGATACACTGATAATAAAGCAACCAACAGATGTAAAGGAAAGATGACTGGCTGTATGGAAGAACAGATTCCATCGTGGCAGGTTATTTTTTCTTTCAGAATTCACTTTTCTGCACTGAAATCTGGAGATATGTTAATTGTGATGCTTGAAATCAGGGAAGGCTTTTTTTGCTTGTATGATTCAAGCCCTTCAGTGTCAACAGAGAATGGCAATCATTGACAGACACATGGGTTGTTTTAATCTATGTAGTATTCCTGAGTAGTGTCATAGTACTATAGCCATGAAACTCTTGACTTTTGCATGAGAGCAAGGGTATAAATGTCATCATGGTTAGTGAATCTGTTTTTTCAACTTGCTTTTTCCCCAAATTTTATTCCTATAGCCAGGGAGTAAGCAAGCACAACATCAAACTTTTAGGCTTTTTGTACAGTGTGGCATCATGATATTTCAAGATACCATGGATGTTTATTGTCAGTGAGTAATGGGTGTCTTGGTGGCTGCCAAACTGGTCTTGTAAGTATCTTTGTTTCTGATTTTAAGGCCTTTTTCTCAGTTCCTTTATGTCTGCAACACATCACATTATATGAAGATACTCTGTGGCCCTCTGAAGTCTCTCAGTCAACATCTATAAATCTTCAATTCCTTTCCACAGAAGTGCTCCATGTTATCCTGTAGCTTCTGTGGGGATAGTTTATTATTTTTATATCCAGATGTCTAACAAAATATATCACAGCAGCAAAAAATGATCAGGACCCTAAAATCCAGGAAGCAAGACTTTCTATATTAATGCTGATTTGAGGGCTGGCTAATTATCCATTTTTTTCATAAGGAAGACAGTTCTAAAGAAATCTAGATTCTTGATGTCAGAGATGCAGTGGTCAATGTGTCTTCACTTAAGCAGTTTTCATATGATTGGTAGCCATCACAGCTCTGGAATGTCATCTCCTTGCGGTCTGCAATATTTTTCTTAGACTGAGAGCAGCAGAGCAGTATTTATAGCTATTCCAAGAAAAAGGCCTCAGAGAACGTCAGTCGGATCTTCTCAGTTGTGTTTTTGACCACTTTTTACAGTCTTGTTTTGGTATGTTGTAGAAGAGGAAAAATACAGGCTCAGAACCATCATGATATCCCATTACATCTGTTTGTTACTGTGCGGTTGAACTAAAATTAGGGATGGTGGGAAGTCAGTTAATATTCCCAGACACTGATTTGCAAAGCATAGTAGTGGTTCGTCTATAATTTTACTGTAGTTTTTTAGAATTATAGTGGATGCCAAAAGAGAGACAAACATTAAGATGAAAAGAAGTGACATAATTTGTAATAGTGAGTTCCGGGATGTGAAATCACAGTCAATACTGTGGTACATGTTCCTGATGCTCATCATCCTGAGAGTTTGACAAGTTTCTCATGGTACAGGATGTGTAGGGTATGTTTTCAGTTTGAAATACTTTTTTTTTTTTTTTTTTTTTTAGGCAAAATGTGAAGATGGGCACATTTCTGAGAATATATGAGTATAATTTTTGTTTTATATTTATTGGCTTATGAATTTATATATTTATCTTAGCCAGTGCCTAATTTGAATTGGAAACAAGAAATTGCTGTTAATACATGACTAATTTGCAGAGATTGCTACAGATTTTTGTTTGTTTGATTATTTGTTTTTAAAACAGGAGTCTCTGAAGGGCAGTTTATGATGTTCTGAAAATAAAGGGAGAGGTTGAATAAGGGATCAAAATTAAAATTAATTCACTGGGAGGTTAGAAGCTGCTTTCAGGAGAAAATCCTGTGGCAACTGAAAGGTCAATTTTTCCAAAGCAAAAAAGCTGTAAGAAGGTTAATAATACGGCTTTGTTCTGCAGCACAGTAATATGAGCTGCAGAGCTATTACATTCCAAGTCAACAGCAGTAATGCAAGATGCAAAAAATAAAGAATAAAAAGGTTTTGGGGGGACCAAAACTTTCGCTTTACTGTTTTGCATTCAGAAGTTTGGAGTAGTAGAATAATGATATTTAAATGCTGTCAGTCAGTTATGCGGTGATATAGTGATAGAATATTTATTAAAATTAAAAAAAAAAAAAGCAATAAAAAAGCAGAAGTTAGGTTTTAGATATTAACCAACTCTCCTCTCTTGATATCAGTAGGCTGTGGTAGTGTGATGTTGTGTCCTTGGGGGTAAATTTGTCATTTTCAGGTTTATAATAATTTACAGTATTATCTGTAAAACAAAAAATTATGCTAAAACAGAATTGAAGATAAGGGGAAAAGACCCCCAGGGATGTTACAATTATCCCTAATCTAAATAATACAAACCCAGGAGATTCTTAATTAAGAGTTTGCATGACCCATTCTGAGTAGGCATGGAATTCTGTTATTTCTTCAGACTTCCCTTGATATCCGTTCTTGCTGACTCCTGCTGCCTTTACGTCCTGTAGGCCGTTGAGGTAATTGCAGTGACACAGCCCGTCTTCAGAACTGACCTCTTCTGAAATATAATAAAAATTCAGTGTAAAACACTTTTTTTTTTTCTTTCCATTTTACTGTTAGGCATCACTTAGTACGATACAGAAAAGCCACTTACTCGTATAATGTCTCTTCAACTTTTAGTAGCAATGAAATAATACATTTGTAAATTTGTGATTTATGTCTTGTTAACGCAGCAAAATGTATCAACTGTTAAGGAATCGGGCCAGATATTCTATAGCTACTTCTCTGAGCTAGAAAGCCTTTTCTTCTGGGTAAAATGTACTTCTCTCTCTCAGATTTATAACAAGAGTTTACTCCTGTTTAGATTTTTTTTTTCTCAATAATTGGTAATCTTTTTCACTGTTAAATATCAGCTGCTGCGGTACCGTTAGGACGCAGTCTGTAATAAGGTTTTCTTTCTGAGCAAGATGGAATATGTGCTGTCATTCAGCAACCAATGATCTAGTTACATATTTTCTTGTAAGGGCCCTCAGGAAATTTATACCAGTGTAAGAGAAGTAAATGCAATGAAGTGAATTAAGACTGACACATTTCTGTATGGCAACATGAATATGTTCTTCTTGACAGCTTTGAATATTTATCTGCAGTCTAGATTTTTTGAAGCCCCATTTAGTTTCAGAAAGTGTTCCTGAACTGAAAACAGCTGTCATATTAAGGGGATCTGGGATATATACTCGCCCTGTTCTTCCTCTGCATCCGCATACGTCCATTGCTGGTGACTGGCAAGTTTAGTACAGCTCTTTTTGTGTGGTAACAACCTTTCAAGATGTGCCTTAAGGCTAAGTGTTTTAATTTCCTTCATAAAAACAAAGCCACCACTCACTCTGAGAATTTACTTGAATGATGTAGTTAGATTATTGAGTTTCAGAATAGTTCCACTCCTAATGTACTATTTGGTGATGTCTTTTGAAACCAATGTCCTCTTTTTGCCTTAACAGTAATTTACAGCAAAATTTTGCAAGTCTTGTACTCGGTATTGTAACTGTGCATTTCCTAATCTCACTAAGCATTCACAGTGTCACTCAAATACACATTCTGTTATGCTAATTATCTCTAACAGAATACGAAACATGCGCTCGAGATACCTTAGAGCTACAATGGCATTTGGATTGCAAAAGCCGTCAGCTGCGACAGGTACAAAACCAAATACTTAAGATAGAAGCAGTTAGCAGAAGGATTCAGGAGGATGTAGACTTCATGAAGAAACACAGCCCTCTGCTGGAAGAAAAGTTGAATCTGGAGGGTGAAGCTGTGAAGGATGTGTTACTGGCTTATGAAAAGGTGAGTACGCATCATACAAAAAAAAAACAATCACAAAGATACATAACCTTTTACAGCAGCATCACCAGTCTATTTTAAATTTTGTAGACAAAGACTGTGAATTGTGTGCCTCAGTACAGAGTACAGGCAGAATCCAGGGAATATAATGCTGTGGGCCTTTAATAAAAGTCTCATAAGCACATGTAGAATGTAATTACAAATTTGTAAGCTCATTCCATCTGTTTGGGTTTCTTTTTTTTTTTTTTTTTTCCCTTCCTTTTTTTTTTTCTTTTTTGCAGAAAATGTATATGGCACATATCTGATGTTTGTATAGATTCTTGATTCTTTTCAGATTTCTCACAGACATCAAGCTTTGTTCCAGAATGTGGATAATGTGGAAATATTAGAAGCTGTCAAAGAAAGTAAAATTGAATTATTTTCAAGTGGTGGTGCATTTTTAATGCAGATAGTTGCAGACTGAACAATCAAAGTGCAGCAGAGTTGTAGATATTTTTAAATGGGTATCAGAAAAGGAGGGGTACTGTGTAGCCGCAAGTTCAGATTTTAATACTGATTATTTTCTGTGTATGCTTTATAGTTACTTTTAATCTCAAATCTAGAGATGAATCCATTTCAAGATACTGCATTTACAATCTAAAAATGATCTTATACTTCCCGGTGATTCTGAATAAAAGTTTATTTAAACATTTGCTTTATTTTTAACCTTGTATATTGAGGTGTCAACAGTCATGTCAAAGTACTTCTAAAATAAAAAAGAGCTAATTAAGCATCACATCACGTAGATAATATGAGAATTGTTATAAAGTAGTGTCCTTCCAATTCGTTTCCCTTTCTTAGTTAAATATGAATGGGACACAATCATTACTCTGTGTGTGAATGACAGCTTGCAAATTCTTTTCTTGTGTGTTTCTGGAAATAATTCTCCGCACACCAAAACTTGCATATGGTTCTGACTATGAAACAGCTGGTAGTTCGATCATTTTTAAGATACCAGCTAATTAAAAATCAATTTGGTTATTTCAATTTTCATTTTGTATCCTTTTTTTCTTGTTAATTTCTTAGAATAAATTGTATTCAGTCAAAAAAAATTGAGATGCTCTAAAGTACAGATCAGGAAACAGACTATTTTCCAAAGACTGTATTAAATTAATACTTTTTCAGTGTCCTTTCTTTTTAGACACCACATTTCTTAAGAAGACAGATTTTGTGTTCTTGTGATTCATTCATATATTTCATTTCAGCAAAGCTTCTAATTAACAAATTGTGCTCTAATTTACACGCTGCTCCTTACTCCTTTGTTTTTTTCTCTGTTGTTTTTTTTTTTTCCTTTTTTCCCCCATGGCCTTTGGAAAGCAGCTCATATTGAGTTTTCTTTTCAGTTGAAACAGTTACTGAATTTTGAATCTAGCTTTTAAAACCCAGCAAACTAGTATTTACAGATTTTGTATCACATTTTTTTTAACATCTGTAATATTTTCAAATGCTGAGATAAAAAGCATGTGTATAGCACTAAGTGGACAGGAATTGAGCAGATCCAATACTGTTGATACCAGTGAAGATTTTATTTATTGTCTCCATTGTCTCAGGCCCCTGTTTTACACAGGTGACTGCAGGGCTTGCGCATGCTTTGGGTTGTTTCGTTTAAGTAATGATTCTATCAGATTACTGAGAGAAACCTCTGTGACTTCTTCCAACTTATTTCTTTCTTTCTGCTCCAGAGGTCACTATCTTCCCATGGAAGTAGCCACTTTTCACAATAACTTCTATGTTGTGCAACAGAATGAATGGCCTCTTGGTAATACTTCCTAATATCATGCAATTTTACAACATCTTATTGTCTTTCACCAGGGTATTTATTGCAGAACATGTGGAATTTGTTGTGATGGCATCACAAAATACAGCTTCAAATTTAAGATTCAATTTTAAAATTACAATGAATCAAAACTAGATATATATATATATTTAGTTATTATTATTTGTGACATTGTGTGTGATTTCTATGTAACATCTTTCCGAAAACTTGTTTTATTTGCTTAGGCATCCAGAATATATTCTGATGTTCATTCTGAGCTCATGAAAATTCAAAAGAGAATGGAAAGAATTGATGAGGAAGCTAAAAAGAAGATAAAATCTATGTATGAGAAAATTAAATGTGCTGAGGTGCTACTAAGTCAATACAAGTAAGAGCTGTTCAAAACAGTCGTACGCATATTAGTTTTTAGTAGTGACAATGAAATGATAGAAAATTTGCATTTAGAAAATATTTTAAATTCTCAGTTTTGTAAAACTGAGTAGTTATACCTAAAATACGTTTTTCATAGAATCCCTAGAGTTCAGACCTTTAAAGGTCATCTAGTCCAATTCCCATGCAATAAACAGGGACGTGCACAGCTAGATCAGGTTGTCCAGGTCTTGATCCAGCCTTGCCTTGCAAGTGTCCAGGGATGGGACGTCGCCAGAACCTGTTCCTGTGCCTCACCACCCTCACTGTAAAAGACTTTTTACTTTCTTTGTCTTAGTTTGCATTAGCAAAAGGTCCAATAATATATGCAAATGTAATGTTCCATGAATCAGTTCCTGAACTGTTGGGTTTTTTTGGTTGTTTTTGTTTTTTTAACCTTATTTTACTTTAGAATTTTTATTCATTCTAACAGAACTAGGCAGATAACTGGGTGATTCTAGAGAGCTATGTCAGTATTTCTTTGTACTTCTGTGAACTACAGTGACCACTCTTTATGCAAGCACACATGTAAAACATGTAAGAGCTGTTACTTTTACTTAGTGAAAACCTCTTTGCTAAAGAGGTTTCTCATGGGTATGTAAGATCGCTATTAGAAAAAAAAAACTTTGTGATTTTCTATGTTTATGGGCTATCAGCAGCTTATCTGACTTTCTAAAAAAAGACAGAAAATAAGCAGTTACAAACAGTTTGTACACAAACTCATTGTAGTTCCTGTATTCTGGCACTGAAATACCATTTGTCTACCAGACTTATCTACCATGAAGCTGAACATCAAATTCTCAAATAACAGTTATAAGAATTTTGGGTACTGCTATTGACCTTTCCATTTGATGTTCCCATTAGGAAGAATTAAGATATTTTTAAACTTGTATTGTGGTGATGCACACTAGAATAAAGCAAGACATGCAGTAGAATTTGAGAATAAAGTGTTTGCTACCCTCTGTGAAGAACACACTCTCAGGGGGAAAAGAAGAGGGTATAACTAACTGCTGTAACTGTTTTCTTCTGGGTTTAGATTTTCTCATGAACAGAAATGGACCATGTATATTTTCTGTTTCACTAGTTTAACATATTTCCTATTTGTAGCACATGACAATGATGTAGACTCTCGTGCATCTTGCAACCATTTTTGTTTGTGTGAATGGTAAGTTAAATTAAAAATGCTAAGGAGTATCATCATGTAACAAGTAAAAAAATAAGACTTTTTGCTACCCTCAGTGAGGAAATCAATGGTCAAATCTGTTTTCTCAGCCATTTGATGAGCTTGTAACTGAAGTAATACCTATGTTGTTGAAGTAGATTCTTCATTTGCCATCTGAAGAGGATCAGAATAATGTAGTGCTTATTGATGACAAAGGCAGATTTGTGATGGCACAGACTTGAAAGGCTGCACTTCTGTTGATACACATTTTTTATATGTTGAGTACCATCAGTGAGAGAACTGAAAATACTGGAGGAGGGGAATGTCAAACAGCACAGTCTGTTATTTTTGCACATGGCTGATCGCTATGGCTGATAGTAGCATATTTTTCCATGGGATTGTACTCAGAAAAGTTGTAGCTCTGATAGGCAGTACGCCTGTTACGTATCTGTCATCAGAAATTCCAAGTATCATTTATATGGCAGGACAAGGAGAAATGGTTTTAAGTTGAGGGAGGGAAGTTTTAGGTTGGATGCCATGGAGAAGTTCTTTACTATGAGAGTGGTGAGGTGCTGGAACAGCTGACCAGAGAGGCTGTGGATGCCCCGTCCCTGGAGGTGCTCAAGGCCAGATTGGATGGGGCCCTGGGCAGCCTGGTCTGGTATTACATGGGGAGGTTGGTGGCCCTGCATGTGTTGAGGAGGTTGGAGCTTGATGATTCTTGAGGTCCCTTCCAACCCAAGCTATTCTATGATTCTGTGATATGTTGTGAATAGTAGGACATAAGGGAGTACAGATATTTGAAGTGTTAGGTGCTCATTATATATATATATATATATATATACATATATATATATTCTGTGACCTTTGGCTCTTGAATTATTAATTAAAGTTTTTGTCTTCATCAAACAAAAATAATAGACAAACACCAACACTCGTAAAATAAAACAAATGTAACAAAAGACCTGTGCTCTGCTTACTGCAAGTTCTAACAGCTCATTGTTGAAGTGTTTTCCTGACTATTGTTGTATTACCTCTTTCTGTAATTATGGGTGGTTTTTCTTCTGATAATTCAGTGTCTGCTGATACATCTGGTAGTTGGAGTAGAAATAAGGTGTTTAGCTCCTTCTTTGACATTATCTACTCTCTGCAAGTTCATTTTTACATAAAGAGTTGGCGTCTTACTTGTGTAATGGCACCAAAGATAACAGTTACAAGATGATACAGGAAAAAAAAAATCACTAATGGCGTTTCTTCATAAAATGATACTGAACTACACTGATGAAATGAAGATAGCTCTGAACTAGATTTAGCCACTAGTGGAGAAAATAAATTGATTCTTATTTTAATAAATGTGTTGAACAAAAGTCTCCTACTCAACTACACTAATGCCTGTTCAGAAGTCCAATTAGAAGCTGCGGAGTTGGCAGACTTTGTAAGTATAAGTGAATGGGTAGCCCGAGTAGTTTTGATTTCTGGCTGAAATTGTATGAACCTGCCAGGTTGGGTGTTTTGAAATTCTCTCATGCATACCTGCTCAAGAAACATAGTAGAGAATCAAAATAAATCTTTACTAATTTGGATCTGCTTTACATTTTCCTTTATGGAGAGGGGACTACCTTGGAATATTTCCAGATAGATGGATTCACTTCGGGTGTATTTCTATTAGGAATGAGTTAAAGCATTCTGAATTTATTTGGAACGAATACTGTATGAAGTTAAAAAAAACAGAGGAGAAGATTATAAAGGATGAAAAACACCTTGAGGAGTTAGTGAAGCAAAAAGCAGAAATCCAGGAAGATGCAAAATGTTGGAACAGCAAAGTGAGTCTTGAATATTTATAAACAAGCCAAGTAAATGAGTATCTTTTATTGAAAAGTACAGGAATGCCTGAATATTTTTGTATGCTTAAAAGTTATTATCCTCTGTAAAAGTAAAAATGCAGGTTTTGATTTAGAAGTAAAAGCTGGTAGAATTGTACAGAACTCTATTGTCCATTCTTGTACTGTGCTATTAATGTTTATCATTATTTATTAAAGTTATCAATCATCTTACATTGGTGTGAGTGATCTACATATTTTTAGTTGTGTGCACATCTGCCTAATACTGGTTATCCTTCTAAGTCACCTACACTGAATATTTAGCAGTACAACATGAGTGTCCTTTTGAATTTTTATTTTTTTCTTGTCTTAAGGTGACGCATGAAGCCCTGTCCTGCATCATGCAGAGTGATGGCCTGCTTTACTTGAAATTCCCCTATTTTCTCCAATATTTATCTGATACTATTTTTGGAATCTTGCATTTTTGTACTCAGCGGTTTAAAACATGGAGATCCTCATGCAGTCTGACCGGGCATTTTCAGTTAACTTACTATTTCATATGTGGTGCCACAAGGGAATAAAAAAAAAAAGAGAAAACAAGCCAAAAGGAATGTTTAGGTGCCTAAAACAGAACTTAGATGGCCGCAACAGAACTTGTCATGTGTGCATGCATATGTGTGCATATATATATAATATCAGTAGTAATAAAAATATCAAGGTCCCCCTAATGGAGATATTCAAAAGCTGTTTGGCCATGGTCCTGGGAAACATATAATGTGTGGGCCAATCCATGTCCAAAAATAGATAGACAGAGTCATACTGGACAGTCTGTAATGGGTTACTTTATACCTTTTGTTTCCAATACTCAACGGTTTATTAAAGTTGTTTGTCTTTTTTTTTCTGTTACTAGCAATTGCTACTGATAGAATGTTTTCAAGTGTAATCATGTCTTGTAGTACTGTTTAATAAAGAGGATAGAATTCACACATAGTGATAGAAAATGAAGAAACAATTAGATGATGTAAAAGAAAAAGTAACAACTGAGCAATGTTCATAATGTTCAAGTGCACAAAGTTAGTTTGTAAATGTCTTCTAAACTGTATTTATAATTTGACAACAGACACCTTCATACCTCACATCTCTCCTTGAAAGTCACAAATGTCAGACGTGCAAAATGAATAATTTAGGAGACAGGGGTCATTGCAAGCTTTGTGTGTGTGTGTGTGTGTGTGTGTGTGTGTGTGTGTGTGTGTGTGTGGTTGTTGACGATTAAGTTGTGTTTTAAGAAGAATGAGAAGAATAAGAAAAATGCTTTGTTTTTGAAATTACCAGAAGAGTTATATTAGAAGGGATTTCAGGATGCCATCTAGAATACTTTTCATAATGTGGCAGCACTTCAAATTGTTCTTGTCAAAATGTTTGCTCTAAAAACATATGAAAAAGAGAAAAACATTTCTGAATCATCTTCTTTAAGTACTATCAATTGAAAAAACGGAATTTGTGGGTTATTTTCCCTGTAAATGTAACCAGTTTGTCTTTCCCATACTGCCCTGAAATATTTCTTTCTTTTTTTAAGAATATTTCACATATAAAAAAATCCTGCTGTTCAGTCTCCTTTTCCTAGATTAATAAAAGTGCTTCTCTTCAATCTTTCTGATCAGAACGTTTTCTAATTCCTAACCATTCTTTCTCTGTGAACTCTCTCTGTTCATTTGTTTATTTATTTATTTATGAGTTGGAATGAATTTTTAAAGGTCACCTACAGCCAGATCAGTTTCCCAGAGTCCCATCCAACCTGAGCTTGAGTGTCTGGAATTAGGGTCCCTGAAATGGGCACACTACTTCAACTGTGACCTTGCTACATCTTCGGCTTTCATTCCTAATGTCCAGGACTATCTAATAGATGTTTTAAACTAGATATTTATATAATTATTTCCTATTTAACATCAGTGAATCATTGTGACTGTCTGCCTTGTTTAACTGGACTTAAGCAGTTGTTTCCTTAAGCAGGTTTGAATTTGTGTATCATATACCTCCAGAGCGTAGCACTTTGTATTTGTTTACCTTTAATTTAGCCTTGTTGGTTATATACCAGCTTGTAGTTTATCCTATTCCAGTTGAATGTATCTCTGAGGAGACTGTATAGTTAAGCTCTGCCAGGATTCTGTGTTGCTTCAGTCTCTTCAGGGTAATGAGAGGGGAGTGAAGCAAAGTGTTTTTCAATTTCTGTATGAATCTCTGTGTTAGCTCAATAGAGATATTGGGATATTAAAGTAAGTCTTAGAACTGAACAGAATTAAAAGTATTCAGTTACACAACATATGTCACGTATGAATTAGCAGACTGAGAGAGTGTGCTTACTGGTTCTGTGAAGTCTAAGGATTCACCTTGGATACGTAACAATGGAACATGTGTATGAATAGCATTGCATGAAATATCTCTAGTTATTGTTTAATAAGCTGCCTTTTAATTATAATTTAAAATAAATTGTTTAATTTTTATGAAGAAATATAGGAGATATCTGTATTAATTACTTAAAATATATTTTAGGTAGAAGATTTGAATAATAAAATAACTGCACAAGCTGATGAGAACATAAAAATATCAGATGATTTTTCTGACTTGGTTAAAGCTATGGAAGAATTGGTAAGTTCTTTATTATTTTATTTAAGTAAAATGTCTGCATACTTGCTTCTCCTGTGTTGACCTGACTTATTCTGACTTATTCTAAAAGTGTCTTAATGTTTTAATGATCCTTAGAAATCCACCAGGGAAACTGATTTACAAAGTAGAAAGCAAAAGCTTCTCAAAATCAATGAAGCACTGGACATTTTGAAACGTGAAAATGAAGGACTCCAAGGAGAAAGTGAAGAGTTTTTGCAAAAACTTGGAAATTGGTAATGTTAGCAGTATAAATATTGGAAGCAAGTGTTGTTTTATCACTGAAAGTACACCTATAAAACAAAACCTTGCTGTTATTTATTGTTTTTTTTCTGTAATAGACCATTTCAATAATATCAGATTGCCTTAGGCTGAAATTTATCACTGGCATTTTTTGATCTTCATTTGAAAGAAGCAAAATGAAAATTCTGCCAAAATAGTTTGATAAAACAAAATTATGAAGTTTCTGAAATTCTCTTTGTTAATGTAAGCCTCAGTCCCAAAGGCATTTCAGTAAATCTTCTATGAACTTTACTTGTATTTTTTTTTTTATTTATGATATTTAAAAAACAGAATCTGAATATTGTGTGTCTCTATTTTTCTTTGAATTCTTGTAAGATATTATGCATTTTTTGTGGATCCTCAGTTTATTGATTCCAGATAGCTGTACTTTAAGCTGTATTTTGCATAATGTTCCTAGTGCATTTATAATATAACAGCAAATAAAACAGATTTTCAGTTCTTCATTTACACACCAGTATCTTGTTGGTTTTAGGTGTCTTACAAAAAGCCCAACAAAAAGAAAGAGTGCTCTTTGCATGGAATTTTATTTGAGTAATACAGAAATCGTAAATCTTTGATCTTACTGGGGTTCTTAGCTAAATAAGATGAGTTCTAAAGACTATAAATATTGTTCTCTTGGGGGTTTTGCCATTAAGTGCCACACAAGAGGCAGGATGTTTGGTAAAGCTCAAAACTTTTAAATGCTCTGATCTGCTGCTCATCTCTTGCCTGATATTGGCAATATTTGGTATGTCATATCAGTACTGTGATACTCTGAGCCTATGATTGTTTCCTGGTTTCAGCTGAGACAGGGCCAATCACATACCTGTGTTGGTTGTTGCTGAGCAATGAGAGCTGCTGCCAGGTTACACCACAACAGGCTGTAATTATTTTTTTTCTCACAGTGAACTGCCAATTTCTTTAAACTCCTCCGAACTTATGTGGCAGTTGTCAAAAAAGAAGTGAAATTGTCCTTATAGTTCAATCTTTGTTTTCAACGAGGAACAGAAAGCAGTGTAGGGATGATGTATTTGTCTTACATGACTTTATTTCCTCAGTATAGTAATGGAAAGAAATAAGTAGTTTGTATCTTAGTGACATTAGACCAGGTAAACGCCAATGTATCCCAGCTACAAAGAAGGCTAATGGCATCCTGGGCTGTGTTGGGAGGAGCATTACCAGTAGGTCAAGAGAAGTGATCCTTCCCTTCTACTTATCTGTGGTGAGGCCACATCTGAAGTGCTGTATGTGTTCTGAGGCCCTCAGTAGAAGGGAAACATGAATGTATTGGGGTGAGTCCAACACAGGGCCATGAATATAACAAAGGGCCTGGAGACCCTCTCCTAGGAGGAGAGTTTGAGAGCTGTTCAGTGTGGAGAAGTCTTGGGGTGACCATAATAATGTTTGTAAATGCAATATGAGAGGTTTAAAGAGCATGTAGCCAGGGTCTTTTCAGTGGTGCCCAGTGCCAGAACAAGAGGCAATGGGCACAAACTTGAACAGAGGAGGTTCAAGTTCTCTTCAGAACACCAGGAGCACTTCTGTGCTGTACAGGTGATGAAGCACTGGTACAGGCTGCCCAGAGGCTGTGTGTGGGGTCTGCTGCTCAGAGACCTTCAGCAGTTGCTTGGATGTGGCCTGGCCCCCTGCTCTGGTGTCCCTGATGGAGCAGGAAGGGCCCTGCCAGCCTCAGCCATTTTGGGATGCTGTGATTCTATGATAAAGGTTAACAGTGGGAATGTGTAGGTAAAAAAAAATGGCTGTATGTAGTTGTTTGATACGAAGAAACTATCAGGGCTTACAGTCACGAATGAAGTAAGTTTAAAGTTTTAGGGAAGAGCTTGGTGTATTCAGCATCGTATAAATGGATGATGAAATCCTGCCTTTACTTTTGATTTTCAAATATTTTAGCTTCACTTATTTAATATTGAGTTTTTCTTTTAGTAAGCATACTTTATAAAAGAATTTTATTTTAATAGTTCAAGAGCAAAGGAGGCATATCAGTCAGAAGTCAAAACTCTCAGCAAAAGCATAGAGGAGTCTGAAGATCAAATAAAACAACTAAATGAAGAGCTTTGTAAAGCTGAATTATTTTACAATGAAAAAAAAGCAAAGTATGAAGAAATCCAAGAAGAAATAACTGCAGAAAAGATCACTAACAAGGTTCTACTTTTTTTTTGTTTTATTTTAATGTGGAAGAAAAAAAAAAAAAACAAAACACTTCTACTGCACAGAATTACTAGGCAAGCGACAAAACAATAAGCAAATAATAATCTAGGATTTCTATATTTTTACCACGTATTTTAAAACACTTGAAAATCTGAAAAATTTGAAAAAACAGTAAGGACAAAATAAATTGCTTATTAAATGGTCACAGAAAATGTCAGGCTAATTAAAGTTTACAAATATTAAAGCATACTAAAATTCTTCTATTTGTAGGTAATTCAATGGGAATACTAACAAATAACCTCATTCTTATGTAACTAAGTGATTAGAAGAATTTGCCAATCAATATAGTTTTACGTGATAGCAAATGTAGACATTGTGCATGAGATACTGCATTAGAGTAATTATTTAGTTATCATTAGAAAGTAATTCATTATCCAGAATTGAAATATAAATTCGTTCTTATATATAGGTTTTGCCGTGACTGTGTTTGAAGATTTTTGTGGTTTTTTTTTTGCTTGACATAATTCTTAATAAATAACATAGTACATATGCATTCAGAAATATGTGAAGGAAATAAAAAGAGGAATTTTTATACCAGGGAGATATAAATGGTGTTTAGTATATTTTTCATTAGTGTTCTTCTACTGTATATGAAGTATAGATTGCCTGGAAGGAGGAACTTCAACATTTTATTTTCAAGATTTCCTAACTTTTAATCAGGAAAATTAAGAACATTCATAGTATTTTCTAGACTAGTATGCATTGACATATTAGGCTCTTCATGTTTTTCTTAAGTAAGCAAATCCAAGTACTGGACTCTGCCTGAAAAACAGGAAAGAGGAATTGTTGGATGTGATTTAAAACAGAACCAGTTGAAAGGCTTTTTGAGCCAAAGGGAAAAACTGTAAAACATGGGCTAGAAAACTTCAGAGCTTTTCATTGTGCCAGGTTGTCTTCTCTTGCATCAAATTTATATTACTGGCAATATCTGAATTTGCACCAAGTAGGTTTGCCCTATAAATTGTATTTTTGGTATATGCTGTTCTATGGCTGTATGTTTTAATGCTAAATTTGTTCTGACTTGCTTGTATATAAATTTGTCAAGCACCGTTTTCCCTGCATTCTTGATGGTGTGTGCTGAAACTTGCACATGAATGGATGTTCATCTGCATGAGCAGGGAATCTTTTATGGTGCTTTTTTTTGCTTTTTACTGGGAACTTCATGGGTGCTAAAAATTAGTCTAGGAAATAAGGATTTTAGAAGAGTTTTAGGAAAAACTCCCTGTTTATTTGCTTAATTTATATTTTTCCCTCAATTATTCAAATGTAATTTAGGATTAATGTTTAGTAATCCAGATGTTGTTAAAATCAGTGCTTCTGGTCATCTATTAATCTGACATTGTCTCTAGCAGCCTTCCTATTCAGATGTATTTGGGAAAGGATTTGTCACTACTTCTTCTGTACTTTGCATGTTTAATCTAAAAACTCCTATTTAACTTCCCTGATGGTGCTTTTTGATTTAAATCCACAAAGTTCAGGATCCTTTCTGTTTTGCTTCTTTTAGACATCATTTCAAATGTTGGAGGATACAGTCTGGCTGCTGACAGCTTCTTTTCTGTTTAGTGGTGTTGATTTTTCTATTTGATGTTTCCAAAACATCCATCAAAACCTGATTTGCATGTGCTTTGAGCCTCTAGTACGATCTATATAAATAGTCTCTGTCTAGTTTGCAAATATTTTACTTTTTTAGCTATCCTTCATAACATTTCTAATATACTAACAACAAAAAAATCCATTTTTGAATTTTGACTACAGCGTTACTTTTTGGATTTTGTTGCTCCTTAATCTCCCTAGTCAAATCATAGATAGGGTTAGTATCCTGGGCATGCAGCCAATCAGAAATGTATCTCATTTATGGTTATGCATTTATGGTTAGAGACAGAATTTCATTTTGTTTGTGTTCTAGTTTCTTTCTTGGCAGAACTTCTACATTAAGCCATTGTTAGTGTCCCATCTCCAATGATTGCTTTCCAGCATCTCTTAAGTTGATTCATTACCCTTGTTGTTGAGTATCTCCGTTTCCAGCAGCATCAGAGTTATCATTTTGTTATCAGCTTTAATGATTATGGTTAATCTGTGGTTAATCTCAGCTACCATAATAGCTAAAGTTGCGTGGTTATATTTTCAAAACTTAAACACATGAAGCCACATACAAAGGTGGCCAGTTGCAAGAGCTAATTACAAGGTAAAAGTTGCTAGTTCAGTGAGAACAGAATGCAAGGAAGCTAAGATACCTCTCTGTCTACGCAATAGCTGAAGAGAGCTGAATTTTAAATATGCCCTTATAAATGATGGTGCAATTTTAAGTTGATTTTCTGGTCTCTGCTGATATTTTGTTAGAGCAATTACCCCTTGATGTGTCTGACAATGCATCTGTCTGTAACCACCAGTTAAACTGTCTCTGTGGGCCACTGAGCAGAATAAAAAATATATTCACACAATCACCAGGTGTTATCATCAGTCATTCTAAATGATGCTGCATTTTGGAGAGCAGTCCAGAAGCTACAGTTCTAAGTTCTAAGGCTCAGTAGATTTAGATTCAGATAGGTTTATGGATGTGTTAGGGGGGTATGAAGGCCCGTGGACACTGATTTTTGCTCAGAGTTTTCCTTGGAGGAAATGTATGAACTTTCATCTGGAAATAAAAGTCACACAGAATCACAGAATGGCCCAGGTTGGAAGCTCTAACACCCCTACCACAGGCGGAGTCACCAACCTCCCCATTTAATACCAGACCAGGCTGCCCAGGCCCCATCCAACTTGGTCTTGAACACCTCCAGAGATGGGGCATCTACAACCTCTCTGGGCAAAAGACAATGTCTACTACTTATTGATTACAGGATTTCCTTGAAATGTACTTTCTACATGAATGCTGGTCTGCCTGTCTCCTTTTCCCATGAAGTTTGTAATAATCTTTTTTTGATTGGAGGCTTGAGAATAATTGTATTATTCTATTATTAAATAATTGTATTATGACCTGCTCATGCAAGAACATCCCTCTCTAAGTGCTGATGGCACGTGCTTCCAGAATGCAGATACAGATGTGAATTAAACATCTTGAAGAAATAGATTTCAACAATAGAAGGGATTGAGTCTGTTTCTAACTTTATTGTTGGCGACATTATGCCTAGTTTTGCCTAAATAATGTCCTTAAATTCACTTAAAAGAAAACAGAAAAGTCTAATTAGGATTTGGCTTACAGTGTGATCAGGTATATTTTAGTTATGATGATCTGCTAACGTGACATACATTAAACTAGAGGTTTTCAGTGTGCAGACTAGACTAATTTATTTGACTGTAATTCTAGAAGTGGTGTGAGTAGAACGCTCATATAAGAAAAGGTTGAAAATTTCAGATTTTTTTTCTAGAAATTATGAAAAAAGTCCCATCATAGGCTGACAGAAGGTATTGAGATTGTTTAAAATCTCAACATTTGATGTTCCATATCATTTTAGGTGAGCCACTTCAGCTTCTTCATGTATGTTAAGCTCAGAAAATAAATAAATAAATAAATAGTTACTGATATATTTATTCAAATTTAAAATATAGTCTTCCTTTTCTTGTAGTCTATGTTTATTTAACTACTGTGCATGAGTAAGTGTTGTAATTTCATCTTTTGTATAGTTCTGTGATAATCGAGAGAAAATTTATAAGTTGTGCTTGTCCTTACTGTGATGTCATTGCTGTTGTCTATTAATTTATTTTCTTGTGTTGCATATGACTTTTTTTTTTTTTTTTTTTTCCCCAAAGAATCTGGAGTTGAATCTTACAAAAGAAATTCAAGATGCAAAAGAGATTTGCAAAGTGATTCAGGTAAATATGACATAAGCCCATTTACTTGAAAGCTAAGTTTTCCTTCGGTGTTCTTTTCACTTTCTACCATAAATTAGCTCTGAATACCTTGTAGCCAATTTTTATAGAAAGATAATGGGTTTTGCTAAGTAACTGAGTTTGCTGTTTTTTATATCCAACTAGGAAAATGCAAATACTCATGAAAACTTGGACCGTAGTAATTGTATTCAAGATGTTTGCAATAACTTCCAGTTTGCTAGAAAAAAACACAACAGCTTTCAATAATAATTCATATATGCAGAGACAGTATCATCTGAATCTGTATTTTTCTTCAGTTTCTGTAGAAAGTACAATCAGACTCCTACCATACTTGATACTGATGCATGTACATATAAAATGAGCCATTTTAACACCATTTGATTTTCCCCTGGTGTGAACTACTTAATTCACACAAGATATGCCGCTGTTACTTTTTTAATTGTCAAATATAAGCCTTTTTGTCTGGTCTTCACTGCTGCTTTTCAACAATCCTCAGGCAAGCATTGATACTATTTCAAATTTTCTTACTGAAATTCCAAGTAGGGCTTTGCCATCCATTTCCATCCTTTGGAAAATCAATTCCCTCAGGTGCTTCCCTTGATAGTATGTGTAACAATCGTATTACATGTGTTGTAGTAACTGTCAGTTCTCAATGTTTCAAGCAAGACACGGAGTGGAAGCTCCAGGACTGTCTTCTCAATTTCTCCATTCAGTGTCACCAGTAAGAAACAGGGAAGGGGCCTTAAGTTGGAGTTATCAGAACCAGGCTCTAGCTTCCATCTGATCAATGATAGTCTGAGCAGCAGCTTTCCAGACAACAAGATAAGAGAAATTAAGAGATTACCAGTCAGTCTTCTAAAGTTGGAAACCCTCTCTAGCTTCTTTTGTGGTTGTATCAAGCAGAGATAATCAAAAGAGATAATCTCAAATGCTGCTCTTGGATTTACTGTGCTGTGCTGACCATAAATTCTTCTGAGATCTTTGTTTCTCCTCACTCCCACTTTTTTTTTTTTTTTTTTTGAGAGAGAGAGAGAGAGAGAGAAGTCTGATCCTTTTTATTTGCTTGGAGATATTCAACCTCCAATTGAGGTTACAAAGCTTGTTCTCTTCCATTCTGTGACTTTGAACTTGCAAGAAATTTGCAGTAGAACCTAGCGCATACATTTCACGCTTCTAGAAAGAACACATCCAGGAGGGATCTTGCAATTTCTTTTTATCCCTGACATAAGCAAGAAGTGTTGAATGCTCCTCTTCTAAGCCTTGTGGTGCTCAAGGTTGTCACCATCCTGTGTCTTTGTGGCTGATGCCCACCTTCCCTCTAATTCTTAGACTGTGCTTCAGAGAAGGCTGAAGGAAATGCTTTTCGTCCCAGCTGCTGCAGCATAACAGGTTTTGTTTGCTGCTTCTGAACATCTTCACTTTCTTTGGATTTATTACTGATAATTTTCTATTATTCATTGGAACTAAAAATTGCTGCCTTCTCTCTTGGTTCTTGCAGAAATCCCTCAGTAGTCCTTCTAGCCTACTTCTTTCCTTGTACAGACAGGAACAGAAGAACAGTTCCCTAATGGGATATAAATTTGCTGCTGAGAACTTTTTTCATCGCAGTTCATGTGTTTTCACAACAGAGGTTCATCTTTATAAGTATCTCATACTTCTTGTGGGTTCATCTTTGTATCTTCTTGTAATGTTCATTTTCGACTACAATTTCTTTAAGTATTTTTTTTTCCAAAACTAATAGAACAAAACATAACGATGATAGCAAAGGCTACTGAAAGAGCAAAATCTATTATTAACAACTGACTATAAAAATGCATAGCAGTTTAGAGGAGAGTCTTTTCTAAGGTAGCTAAAGGGAATTTCCTAATGCCATCTGAGTATAACCACCATCAATCCAGAATTACTTACGCTTATCTGGGGAGCTTTTCTATTCTACTTACCAATCATTTTGTCACCTGAAACTTAATCCATAACCTTCACCTAGCATAGTGAATTTGAAAGTTCTGTTGCATTAACTACTAGAAGCACTTCAAGTAAAGGTATATTTGTAGACTATTAAAGGAGTTATTAAGGGATTAAAAGGATTTATTTTCCACCTAAAACTAAAACAGTAAGTTGTGTGTATGCTCATTCCTTGCCTTCTTTCCAGTAATCTTCCTGGAACTCTGGTTCTAAAAGGGGAAATCAAAATGGTGGCAGTTGAATTCCACTTCATATATACATAGATATATAGATATTGGTTCTAGATATATAAGTTCTAAACAGATAAATAATTGAGTTCAAGTGATGGTGAATTTGGTGTAGTAGAAATTCAAGTGTACGTAAGACCTCTCTGCTCTTTATAAACAATGTAATTGCTAGTACATAATATTTCTCTTTCTTTCTCTTTTTGTATTTCTTTTTGGTGAGAGAAAGATGAAGATGGATGTAAGCTGGCTCTTAAGCTGGTTGGTGTATTTCCCAGCCTTGAAATGTGTTTGTTTATTTTTGCAATTTTTTTTTCCTTTCTATTCTGTGTTCTTTCTTTTCCTTTTCCTTTTCTTTTTCTGACTGTTGGGGTTTTTTTTTTTTTTTTTTTTTTTTTTGGTTTGTTGGTTTGTTTGCTGAGAACTTTCCTATGGTGATAGCATTTCCCATCAGAAAAGACTTCCTTTTTTAGCATCATTAATATTTGGAATTTTAATTCCTCTTTTTGGAATACTGTTCTTCTGTTTGCTTAAGTATTACTGTAAATTAATTGTCTGCTTCAATATAATACTTGTATTTCATATTGTTTGTTGCTGATGCCTCTTCTGTGTTTGTTTGCCAGTTGTAGTGGCTGTTCAGCCTTTATTATTCACGTGCTGATTTAATGGCCAACTTTCCTTCATTCTGAAGACATCTTGAATTGCACAGAATTTTGTGGTCTATTCAAAGTATTCACTTAAGGATATAATTTTTTTCAGATTTGAATTTTTCATGTTTAACTTATGCTTCTGATTTCAATACTGCAAGGTATTTCTCTATGTATTTCAATAAACAGGCCAGGACTAAAGATATATATGATGAGCTAGAGGAAAAGAAAAGAGAGAAACTAAAGAAGAGAGAAGAAGATATGAAGAGAATAGAAGAGGTAGAGAGACACATAGCTCATCTAGAAGCAAATTTTAAAAGAAATGAAGATCTATTTAATGAAAACCATAAGGTAAAAGTGGTAGATTCTGAGCCATTTCCTGACGTATTTTCTAATTGTTATTACAACAGCAACAAAATAAAGTAAAAAGAAAAAAAAAAAAAAGAAAGAAAATTAAAAAGATGTAACAGAAGAGTTCAGAAAGGATTGATTATTAAGGTGTGTGATTGTGCTGTGATACAACAAAACATACAGCCTGATCTCAGCCTTAGAGTCCTGTCCTTTCTTGCCTTCTGTATTAGAAAAATCGTTATTTCTCTTTTAAGTTTTGTGATTCTCTTTCTTACAAAAGGGAAGACTGTTTAGTAATTTGTATCTCTTTGTTAAGTTATAAGTTGAAAAGAGCAACCAATGTATAAGCCGTGGCAGGCTGGGAACCCTTTTCCATTCTCTGCTTTGTGAGTGATATTGATTTTTTTTTTTTTCCTTTTTCTCATGAAATGTCTGTTTTATATAAGAAAAAGACACAGAAAATCTTAGTCTTAAAAACAAATCCTCAGCATTCTGGAATTGACTTTGAATAAAATACACCTTTCTCTTCCAAGGTCTGTATTCATTTTGCTTCTGGTGAAGCATTTGTACTGTCATACTCTGACGTGTTTTGAAAGCAAGGCTAAATAGATGTTTTCCTCCAGAAGTCCAGTAATGACATGGTACAATAGTATTACCCACATGTGCTGGATGTAGTAATGATGCTTACTCTTCCTAAGGGGAAAACCTTGGGAAAATTTTCAGGAAGTAACCTTTCATCCAGAACAGTTCAAAAGAATAACAGGAACGACAACGGAAATTGTAAGACTGTGAAGCACTTCTTTTGTTACTACAGTTTCCTCTTTTAAATCTGGCAATCTTGTAGGTCTTTAAAACTTTCCTTATAAGGAGTGTTGCAGCAGTGGTGATAAAAACCAGAATGTACATTAGACAATGTTATCTAAATAAATTACTGTTTGAAACCAAGATATTACAGTGAGGGATGGTTTTGAAAAATACTCATAGTAGGTGGATCAGTTTATTCAGTCTTTAAAACTGGAGGCCTTAGGTGGACAATCATTTCCTTAAGTAATGATGATAGTGACCAGTGTCTGTGGGAAACAGATGTTATTTTAATGAAAAGATGTGGAAATAGTCAAAATATGGATGCTAGAGTTTGATATAAGATGTAATGGCACTTCAGTGACTATTACGTATACATATATAATGTACATTTAAGAAAAACACTAAATGAAACCAATACTACCTTTCCTTTACAGAGCTGCTAGGATGTAATTTATTTGAAGATTTTTAATATTTTTTTTCTCATTAAAAACAATTCCATAACATTGCATTATTCTTTTTGTACATTCTTTTCTTGATTAGATTCTTATTCCTTTTCTTATTTTGGGGAATGGCTCTGACAACTAGAAACATTGGAAATATTTCATTTGTTTTCTGTCTTCTGCCACACGTGCAGCAGAGTTCAGCATTCACAGTGATCATTGTACAAATCAAAAGCACTAATTGTGAGCTGTCCTGTTGTCATTATGCTTCAATTAAGCTTTGCCTTACAAAGCCTTTGTTCTGCATGCCACAATGAAGTCATAGGACCATTGAATAGTGGTTTGGAAAGGACCTTGATCAGCTTGTTTCTACCCCTCTGCTGTGGGCAGTGACACCTTCCACTAGGCCAGTGCTCACTGAACTGCTCACTAAAGCAAGCAGTTTTTCAGCATAGGGAAAATTACCTGAAATTTCCCTCCACACACACCCCCTATGTGCACTCCTGTTTCTTGGCTGTTGGGTTGTTTTTTTTTTCTGTCAAAGGAAATAAATATTTTATATACCTGAACGGAAAATAATCAGTTTGAAGGAAAGGTTTATCTCATAAGTGACTGAAAGAGGAGAAAAGTTTCACTTGTCCGTTGTTCCCGTATAGAAAAAGCAAAATACCTTCATTTTTGTTTCAAAATCAACACCCAACAAAACTATTGCTTTTCCATAATCCCCATACATCTCACAGCTCATGCTTTCAATCAAGTACAGTTAACATCTTTCAAGCCTTTTTAGTTTAGATACCTGTTTTTTTATTTTTGGTCAATGTCAGACACGAGAGTTTCTGTTGCCTCATCCATAAGCTCTTACAGAATCATTCTGCAGTCATTTATGGTTCAGTTATCTGCCTATTGGTAAATAGTTTGCCACAGGAGATCATCTCTATTTTTTATTGTTACTCTACATGAATTGTTCTTTATATTACCTGCATATAGCAATACTTCAGCACTTTGGGGTAAGACTGGAGAATGTAGAATAGTTTGAATTTAGATAATGAATTATTTGATAGTTTATTTTTGGTTCAGGTTTAATATGTCAGATTGGAAAAAAAGCCCTTCTCTAATAGCTAATAGTATTTTCAAAACAGCGCAATAATGGCAGTGACAAACGGTGTTAGCCCTTCCCTAGCTAAAACTAAGTAGAAACAATGTGACAAAGATCACATCATTAGTCTCCTGGAAACCTGGGGAGGTGTGGCATAAGTTATGTATCATTGTCCATAGCTGTGTATTTGCTTCTGTAATAGAAGCTTGGAAACAGAGTTTGCCCAAGCAGATTTATATGTGAATGATGTGTGAGGTACTGGTAGTGCCAAACAAGAACTTTCTCATTGATTAAATGTTTAAAATGCTTCAGAATGGAAATATTAATACTGATTTTAATGTTTATTGTTATATAAGATGAATTGAATCTGAAATTTTGAATAACATAGCATAGTTGTTATGCAATTATTTAAGTACCTTTTGTGATGTAATTTTTTTTTATTACATGCATTAATAATACTTTATATCATTTAGTATCTGATGCTCACACTAATGATGCAAATGAAATTAGTACAATTGAGAAGAACTGTTTTTTTGAGGTACTAATTAATAACAGACTGGATGAATGAAAAATACAAAAATCAATTATACAAATATTGCATTTTCCATCTTCTTCCTCTTCTTCCTAATTCTCTTTAGCTGTATTTTTCACAAGTAAGTGACAATAAATAGTAAACATTTCTCCTTTGTATTCCTTCCATGGAAGCTATTCTGATGTGTATGCATTTTGGTTAGATAACTTTATTTGTAGCTTTCTTGGCAGAAAGAATGTAAGGAAGCCTGGGGAGAACAGTGAGCAGTGATATTTTGTTGTGTGATGATAAACACTGTTTGAAGCACCAAAGATGTTTTCTCTTTTATGTGTGCATTTTTTCCTTCAAAGCATAGAGTACACAACATGTGAATGAGCATGCTGTGTTGATAGGAAAAAAAGGTGTGGAGGGGTAAACAAAAGTAAACTTAAGAATAGTAACTTAAGTAGTTTACAGCTAAAATATCTGATTTCTCTGGAAGGTAAGACAATATGTTTTGAATAATAACACATCTCTTTGTGGATATTCCCTCCAGAAACTCTCCTACTTAAATCAGAGAGCACAAGAGCTAGATAAAAAGCAGAAGCAAACAGAACAACAGCTGAAGCAAAAAAGAAATATTCTGCAACATCAATTAAATGCTATACAGGTGAATCTCAAAACTTAAACTGTCTTTTCTACACAGTTGCTTTGAAACTATGTACATGTAAATAGCATATGCTTTTTTTTTCTCTCTTGTAGTTGCACTAATGTATGAGGTCCATAGCCTTAAAACAGGGTAAAGTACAAAGCAGAGTAGATATCGGGGTCACTGAGAAGTCCTTTGCTTTCTTCATTTGCTGCACTGGCTCAGATTGCTTGAGGGGCTTTGGAAACGTAAAGGAGAAAATCAATAACAGATGAAAACAATACTGGTGTGATAGAAAGTGCCTGCTAATTGCATGTTTGCACAGCAGATGGCATCTTTTTGTAAATGATGGCTTATATCTGCTGTATCAGTTACTAAACTGTATAATCCACTGAAGGGAATGACTGAATTTCATTACTGAACGCTATGTTTTATATAAATGTGTTCATAAGCATTACAAGAAGAAAGCATCTTCTTTCTAAGATATTGTTCATTTTTATTATTGTTTCATTTGTATATGTATAAACTTAAATTAGATTAAGCCTTAAATTAGATACTAAGCCTCAAAAATGAGTCATAGATTAAAATAAAAACAAAACAAAATGCTTTCATGTTGTCCAGCATATCTTTCACGAACCTGGTAATTTCTTCCTAAAATCTGACACTTCCTACTTGTGACAATCTTAAATTAAGGATTGGAGAATTCACAGGTACATTCAAGCTTCTAAATTTGATAGGAAAGACAGAGTTTATACATCTCTTTCTGTGAAACATGAAGCACACTGCAGGTTTACCAGAAGACCTTAGAACATGTGGAAGTGACTGATGAGTCACATACTGGTCAATGTACATATCAGCATATTGATATTCAGTAATTCTACATTGTTTTCCAGTGCAAATCATTCTTAGTCTTTAGTTTTAAGAATACCTTTCTTAGTAACTGTAAATAATTGTTCCACTACTTCAGGTAGTGTTCTGAGGAAATGAAACAAAAAAATGTAGAAAGCCAATTTTATCAGATCTCCAGAGCAATGAACTAGTAACGATATTTGGATACCCTTAGTACTACCTTCTTAGAGCTTTGGTTGGTATTCCTTAAGCACAGCAATTGAAGTTTTGTGAAAGGGGTGCTAGGCTGTTAGCTACTACAGCAGACCTTAAGGAGAGGCTGTTCAGTCTACCAATTTTTAGGTTACAGAATGTAGAATAACTCAGCGTTTTTATTTATCTGTTCTAAAAACTGACTGCAAGTTATTTCTCTTCTGTAATAGGTACCAGATGGCATTGACCCAATAGCTAGTATTCCCTGGCCTTGGAAGCCAACCTTTTCACTTCTTATCTGCCTTCTCAGGATGTCAGAGACAAAATGCTTCTTCACTGGCAGTTTTGTTCTAACATAGTTCATATATGAATCTTTAGGAAAAAAAAAAGAAAAAAAAAAAAAAGAAAAGAAAAAAAAAGAATGAACAGGTCACAACTTCTTTTTGTATGTATTTGCACTACGCTCTGATGCCTCAATCATCTCAAATTTTATTATTTGCTTAAGATTAGGGCCTGAGCCCTCTGCTCTGATATTACATATACTACAGGCTATCACATTTCCCTAAGTTCCTCTGATTCTAAAACTAACAGGGATTTGAGATTCTATATGGGGATTTGTGTTAATTACCATATCTTCATTTTCCTTCTAATGATTCTATGTTCCTGCAGGAGACCTGAAATTTCCACCTTATCCTATAAAAAAACGTATTACATTTTAGAAAGTTCAGAGGTTTTAAGGTATCTCATGTACTTCTGTGCTTATGTTCCTATCTGTAATAAAAGCTTTGATTCATCAATTTTTTTTTCAGCCTCCTTTTAGCTATACCTTTACAAAACACTTACTTTATAAGGAAAATGATCATTAGGCTATGTACCAGGGTACTGCCTCAGAAAAATGGTACAGTATATTAAAAATATATATACTGACCTTTATTAAAATATTTACATATATTCTTTGTCTACTAAATTTTAAGGTCTTGAATTTTTTTTATCTCATGCAGTGTTTATAATTTGTGCATACTTAAATTATCTGAATATGTGTGTATGTATGGGAATAATCAGAAGGTATTTTCCTCCCTCTTAATTTAACCCATTTATGTAACTGCTTAGAGCCCATTAGTATGGTTACAAAATCTAATGCAGCTACTTTAAAAGTATAACCCAACTAATAGACTCAACTTCTTAATACTTTTGTACTGCTGCGGTGCATTATATTTACCTTGTTTATTGAGGAAGCTGCAGTGTTTTTTTTACTAGATACTGATGCTATTGGAAGTACTGTTTGCTTTTGTCATGAATCTTTACTCTTTTTTTTGATCCTATAACTGTTGGTCTCTTTTGGAATGAAAAAGATATTGCAGTGTAATATCTCTTCTGTGGGTTAGGAAGTTGTTTCGTTTTTAACTTGGTGTTTTTCAAAAGCTTAATATCAGAATCTCTTTGAAAAGTTGTGTACTTTGAGATGAATTTAGCAGTCTTGTCCTCTGTGCTTATATTCTCCGAAGTATGGAGTACAGAGTAACTCTGTTATGAAAAAAGGTCAATATCTAAAAGAAGAAAGCTCTCAATTTAGGCAATTAAGTGAATAATGGCAGTTTTCAGAGATAATGACTATGCTACATTCTGCCTGGAGTTGGTGCCATCTGAAAATTTGTTTTTTTTTCTTTAAAGATCAGTTTTTCAGGTATTTGCCTGAGACAGTTTTGCAGCATGTAAGCAATTTGATGATCTAGCAGTAAAAATGGCCAGTTAAGACACTGCCTGCACTGAAATAAACAGACCCAGGCTTGGTCAGATGTGAAAATTGCTCCTTTTCACTGTCATTAATAAAGCTGTTGCTGTGCAAGGCTTATCTGAAAGACTTCTATGTAGAAGAGCAAAAATTAAAGAGGATATGTATGTTATGTATTTTTATGAGGGTGATCTACAAACTTACAAACATATATGTACAATATAACTGACTGCAGAAATTGTGTCATAATAAAATGCATGGATATACGGTAGATGCCCAACAAGTTGATGGGCTGTAACTAGATGGCCAAAATCATGCTCTAATAGAAAAGCAATTATTCTGTTTTGCTAAGTACTTCAACTGCCCCTCTAGAAGCAGTTCTGTTTCTTTGAGTATACAGTTTATGATTTGATGCCCGTTATCATGTTCTTAAAATACAGCACTGGGAAATCTTGCCCTCCTAGTTTATATACTATATGCTTTTTTAATTTCCAGGAAAAACAATCATTTTTTTCTAGTCAAATTGATGAAAACTGTCTCACTGTGGAAAATTTAAAAAATGAACTTAAGGAACTCGCTGAATTATGGAATATGAAGCAAACACAGATGGAAGGTGCAGAAAAACTGTTAATCGATTTACGGTAAGACCTGCCTGTTACGTGAAGCTGTAAAGGTATTTTATTGCTTTTGTAAAAGTAATTCAGTAATTTTACTTTATTTCTATTTCTACAGGTAGTTTTATTGTTTTACAGAGTTATTCCTAGGAAATGTAATGACTTTTCCTCAATAATTTGAAAGTATTTTTGTGTGTTTACTGACTGTAGTTGTAATGCATTTGTAGAAGTTATTCATTACACAATGTCTACCTACCAAACTGAATTTTGGGTATCAATATTACTTCTGGAAATCTAATAATATTCATGGTCAGTTGCATCTTTAATTAATGGTGGATTCCTCTCATTCTGTGTTCTCTGTGTTTTAAGAAGGTTGGATCAACATTTACTGTGACTGATGAGTCCTGAAAATAGTCTCAAAGGGCTCTATCTAACTGATTATGGAGACTGCCTTCTAGGCCACTGAAGCCTTGGAGGGCCATATATGCTGATTGCACAGCAGGCTTACTCTTCAAGGAGAAAGGTGAACCTGCTATGCAGTGTCAAATGGAAAACAGCTTGGATTGTTGAGTAGTGCAGAATAGCTAAATAATGAAAAAACATTCCTGATGTCATTGTAATGCACTTTGCTGTCTGTCATCTTATTCACTAAATATACTATCAATGTTGAAAGATCTTTGAGAGATTATTGCATTAAATTCTTGTCCGGAAAAAAAAAAGTGATACTATATATAGATTTTTAACTGAATTTGTGGAACAGAATTACAGACTTACTGAGGTTGGAAGGGGCCTATGAAGATCATCTAGTACAATGCCCTTCTAAAGCACGTTCCCTAGAGTATGTTATACTGGCAAGCATCCTTGTGGATTTTGAATATCTCCGGAGAAGGAGACTGTAACCTCTATAAGCAGCCTGTTCCAATGCTGTGTCATCCTCAAAGCAAAGAAGTTTTTCTCATGTTGAGAAGGAACTTCCTGTGTTTCAGTTTGTCTACGTTGCCTCTTGCCATGTTGCTGGGCAGCACTGAAAAGAGTCTAGCCCCATACACTTTAGCACATGCCTTTTAGATATTTATAAGCATTGGTAAGATCCCCTCTCAGTCCCTCTTCTCCAGGCTGAGCAATCCCAGGTCCTTCAGCCTTTCCTCATAAGGGAAGTGCTCCAGGCCCCTCATCATCTTTGTGGCCCTCTGCTGGACTCTCTAGAAGTTCCCTGTCTTTCTTGAATTAAGGATTCCAGAATTGGTTACAGTACTCCAGATGTGGCCTCATCAGGGCAGAGTAGAGGAGTATGATTATGTTCCTTGCTGGCTACCCTCTTGTTTATGCACCTCAGGATCCCATTGGTCTTCTTTGTCACAAGGGCACACTGCTGACTCATGGCCAACCTGCTGTCCACCAGCACAATCAAGCCCTTCTCTGTAAAGCTCATTTCCAGCTGATCATCTCCTAACCTGTTCTGATGCATGAAGTTATTCCTCCCCAGGTGCAGGAATCTATGCTTGCCCTTGTTGAACCTCAGAATGTCCCTTTCCACCAACTCTCCAGTCTGTCTAGGTCTTGCTGAATTGCAGCTCATCCTTCTGATGTATCAGTCAGTTCTCCCAGCTTTGTATCATCAGCAAATTTGCTGAGGGTACACTGTATCTCTTCATCCAGGTTACCAGTGAGTATTAATGGTAAAAATATTCTAGGAGTGTCTCTTTTTTTTCAGGCTGTTCTACTTTATCCTATTAATTTTGTTTTGACTGATATGTCACTTGGTATTTTGTCAGGCTGTTTTAAGTAAGTTTTGTTTAGCCATTTCTTGTTATATTTTGTGTTAGTCTTCATAAGAGTGCTGATTCCTGCCTTCACAGAAAAACTGATATTGAAGGACTGCTTCTGGTTTTGCTCTTGGCTATTTTTCCTTTTTTTTTTTGGAGGGGGGGCATGCTGGCTAGCCTAATCTGCTGGATCTGAGGTAAAACAGCCCCTACTTTTGCTGTCCATCTTTATCGTTATCCTTTTATAGTTAACTTCCTAACATTTTCTTCTGAAGAACAACCCTTCCTTCACTTATTATTATTTACCAGCAATGCAATAAAAGGACTAAATAACATCTACTGGCATGAAATAGAAAAGAAATATTGACACAATGTTTTCAATATAATAATAATTTTTTTTTTTTTTTTTTTTTTTTAATTAACATATTTGTCTGCAAAACTGAAAAAGATCCCATCACAAGTATCCCACCTGGAAAGTTCTTTATACCATTGGCTTTGGAAAAATTATGTTTGCACTCTTGGAATAGATAAAGACATGTCCTCATGTCATGAAATTAAGAATGAACATTAAATATATTAATTCCACATTTTTTAAAAAATCTCATTGAAGTTTGGTGCCAATAAAATTAGAAGGATGATGACCATATCCTGTGAGCTGAAGATTTTGCGAGAAGCACACTTCCTTATGTTTCTCTTGCCCACTCTTTTTGTAGGTTTTAAGAAAAAAAATATTTAAGAAAAATGAGAGGAAGTGTTATTACTTATATACATTAATTATTTTATATGTTTTGTATACTGCCTAAGGCAATTTATCTTCATTCAGTGCAGCTTAGGCAAGCTAGATAGCTGGAGATCCATGTCTTAGATGTTTCAGTTTTCTGCAGAAATCTTGTTCTGTAGAAAGTCTTTGGTTGAAATAAGACCATGCTAGGTAAGGACAGAGACAAAATAAATAAATAAAAAAAATAAAGACATGTATGTACAAATGATGTGAAGCTTCCTTTTTCTGTCTCAACAAATAATAAAATACTGTTTACCCAGTGTGACATGAGCTCATTCTGTGTCTCAGAATATAATTATTTCAGCAAATGTTTCACATCCAGTAGTAAACCAGTCCATTCTCTAGAAGGTTATTTTTAAAAATGCAAGTTGTTATGAAAATTGAGAAATTTGTATTTCTTGATGGACTCATAAGTGCTCCACATATTCATGGATAAGATCAATCATATTGCTCTGTATTTTTAAAATGGTACAATTATTAGGAAGAGGACTGCCCATTTTATCTGTTATAAAATTTAAAATTAAACCTGTATGTAAAGAATGAAAAACAGTGTAGGATAATCTCGTGATTGCTTCATTGAATTTATTTTTTTCTTTTAAAGGAAAAATCTAAGTGGTGTGATGTTTAAGCAGCAAAATGTCCAGACAGTATTTAATCATTTCCAAGATGATCTAGCAGAATATGAAAAAAGGTTAAAGCAGGAAGCAAAAGTATGTGGAGAGTTACTACAGACAAGAAAGAAAGATCTGAAAAATTCGGAAGTGAGTATTATCAGATCTGTGTTTCTTTATCTGAGAAATGATGCAACAATTTTTAGTTAGTTCTGTCTCTTTTTTAGATGTAAAAATCAGAGTAATTTTATCAAAAGTTTGAAATTAGTAGTATCTTGTCAATATGCAAGTATTCTAAGTGAAATAAATTTATACTTTTCTGTAGTACAGTTTTACATTTCTTTGAAAAAGAACTGATTTTAGGAAAATTATAAAATGATGCATTTGCTTTGGCACATTTAGTTTTTCATTAATGTTTAGGATTCTGGTATGCTTTCTGTAACATATTTTCTTTCCCTCTGATTTGTGGATACCTGTAGGAAAGGAAAAGTCATCTCTTCTGCTAACTTAAAAATCATTTTATTCTTTTCATCAGGAGCTTAGTCTTTAATAATTGTGGGTAAGATCAGCATCTGTAAGTTCTCATTCCTCTTTAATCACCTATTTAGAAGAACAGTGCTCCGTGCTTTATGTAAAACTTTTTGAACTGTCAGTAGTGCTCCACAGTAGAACCCTCATCTGGATCTTAGGAATAGCAACTGATACCAAGAAGATGGAGCCAGATATTAAGTGGGCATCATCAGAGCCAATTGAGGCAGAGTATAAAATGCAAAGGAGTAATAATCACAAAATCTTAAAAGAAATCAGATGCGTAACAATTATTTATTGTTTTCTGCATTACTTTTAGAAGTAAATTGATGAAAAGATGAACATTCTTGATTCTCACTGGTGCAAGATGAAGTGCTTCTATAGTGATATCAATCTGAGTTTTATTTTCTTTCTACTGATGGGAAACTTTTAGCCTGATTTTTGTCTCAGCACTGCATAGTAGAGTTTGGAGTTTATTATTCTGCTGCAAATTGCGTTTTCGTCAAAGTCTGTACAGCTTAGAGTGAAGGAAACTTTTTTTTTTTTTAATTAGAGATTGCTGCTTTATAGCTACTCATTGGGATATCAATCCTTACCAAATATCAGTCTACAGTCTTGTGTTAAATTAATACTAAGCTCAAAAATACGTGCTAGTATTTCAACTTGCTCATTTTTATCTTACCTTCAAAAATCACTGTAAGGGTTATTAGGTGAGGTACCTTTCTTATCTCTTTTAGAACACGAGATTTGTTCTTCTTATTGTTTCCTGTTATGTCTCTACTCCCATCTCCCTTTCATGCTGTTACAGGTATTGCATGAAGAACTCTTAACAGTATTTCTTTATTGACATAATGTTGGGGTAATGAGATTACACCATGATTTTCATGGTTAAATGTAAGTAAAAATATTTTGCTGCGTGTCCATGAGCCTGTTTAAATTTTTGCTGTAACTCTTTTCTGGTCTCTGTGATGACATCTCTTCAGTTAGATCTGCAGCTTGAATGGAGGCACACACTGTTACCCTTTGACTGTTTGCCTACTTATTACCTAGTCATTAATGTTATTGCTAGGAGTGTCTCCAGCAAAGACGGATATTTCTTCAGCACCTTATGGACAGTCAAAAAAATTAAGCAGGGACTTCTGTTTTTGTTACCCAAAAGAAATGGGCAGAAGGCCTAGTAACAGTGAGTGAAAATGTTTAATAAACCATTGAAACTAGGATTTATAGGTGATTCAATTTGAATTCTAGTAAACTCAGGGGAGATAGCCATGATTTGTGGAGGTTGGAACATTTATTTTACAAAAATGACCAGCATAGCTGTCCAGGAAAGGTCACTTGCACAGTTTCAGAATTTTTTTTGCTGATGGTAAAAAGTCAAATAATCTAGCCAGCTAGGTAAACCATCCAGCCTATGATAAAGTTATCTTTTCTTATTTAATGGATATAATGAAAAAGCATTTTATTCTGATTTTTGGATCAAACCATGTATGTAGATGTCACGACTTCAGATACTGTGATATTTTATTATGAAGCTTTGTCACTTATGGTCTGGAGATGGAAACTGGTTTGCTGATGTAGTAATGGGGCACACATCTCAGTTCAGTTTTCTCAAGTCTTGCTCTCTGTGAAATTGGTTGAGGCCACTCAATTCCCCCGCTCATAGATAATACAATAGAATGAGACGGCCTATTTTATAAGGTGAGATGTGGAGGTCTGATTAACATGATTTCTCCCATGGGGAGAAAACAAACAAAATCCCCAAAAGAATAACAGAAAAGAAAAGCACTGATTTCTTGAATGCAACATATAGGAGGCAGGTTCAATAGGTTCTGATCTAGGATTTCTAGGAATTCCAGTCAGACATTATATTGAATGAGAATTACCTGTCGTAATATAACAAAAAATAAAAATAATTACAGTAATTAAAAAAATTGTACTTGGTTCCAAGTGTAAGAACGTGCAAAAACTGAAAGGGAATATTTCCTGAACAGGCTGTGAATATGTATGGTAACACCGCATGTATTCAAAGGTGAGGTGAAAGCAAAACCCCAAGCTACTCAATGTAAGTTGTGTTGTTTAGTCTAGAAGAACCGCTGTTAGATATTTTGGTTGATTCAGGAACTGATTTAAATGGGAGAAATGAACATGTACGTGTCAATGCCAAACACTAGATGTGCACATCTGTCCTGGTTTCAGCCCAAAGAATGTTAATTGTACGATGCTATTTTGATTCTTGCTGTGATGGGAACGCACTCGAGCTGCTTGGTGGCAGTGCTGTCACCTTGATGGTGCAGGGAGGGGCAGGGTGAGGCCAGTATGGATTCATAGAATCACAGAATTATAGAATTGCCTGGGTTGAAAACCACCATAGTGGTCATCTGGTTTCAAACTTCCTGCTGTGTGCAGGGCTGCCAGCCACTATACCAGGCTGTCCAGAGCCACATCCAGCATGGCTTTGAATGCCTCCAGGGATGGAGATTTACCTCCTTGGGCAGTCTGTTCCAATCTGTCACCAACCTCTGAGTGAAAAACTTACTCCTAATATCTAACCTCCCCTCTCTCAGTTTAAGGCCATTCCTCCTTGTCCTGTCACTATCCACCCTCGTGAACAGTCATTGCCCCTCCTGTTTATACACTCCCTTCAGGTATTGGATGACCACAGTGAGGTTGCCCTGGACAGAGCCTTCTCTTCTCCAAGCTAAACAAGCCCAATTTTCTCAACCTTTCCTCAATGGAGAGGTGCTCCAGCCCTCTGATCATCTAATGAAGCCGGGGTCATTCCATACCATGTGGCACCACATGGAGTATAAAGCTGCAGGCAGTGGGACAGGGCTGGCTGCTGCTTGGGGTGCTGTGAGTTGGTCGGGGGGGGTGAGTCCTTGTGTTACTGCAGGGTGTCATTTTGGTGCTGTGCGTTGGTCAGCCAGTGGTAAGGAAGTGCTATGTGGCTGCATACTGTTATTGCATTTTTGTTTCTATTTTCCCCTTCAGTCTTAGTAATTGGCTCTTATTTCACCCCATGAGTTCTATTTTGTTTCCAGTTCTCTCCCTCATCCAGCAGTGAGGCAGTGGACAAATGGCTGTGTGGTGTGAGCTGCTGCCAGGTTACACCACAGCAGCAGTTGACTGTTTAGCTTCAAGATTAAAATTACAGTAATCCTCATTATCTTGTTTTTGAGGCAGGTATAAGCCTGTAGGCCTAATGGAGAGGTCTATGTTGCTGATAGGGGCGGAAGGAGTATTGAGGCTGAGAAACCCCATTGGAGGTCTTTGCAAATGTCCAACTAAATGTCGTTTTTGTGGTGACTTGTGGGTTTTGTGAGGGGGAATGAAAGCTGGTAATGGAGAACAAGAGGAAAGGAAAAACTTGCCAAGAAAAAGAGTTTGAATGGCTTGACAGAAAGAGGATCGATTGTTCAAAGATCTTAATAAGAAGCCTCTCTATTCTGGGGTCTAGAGAGGACTATTAAATCCATAGAAAAGATCTCTTACTAAGAGATAAACTGGCGAGGAACCAGGTGAGAAATTTAGTAATTTCATGAGAAAGCTACAGACTTCTTGTCAGAGCTGTGATGGATTTGGAGTTGAGAATTAGCCTTGGTAGGGGAGAATCTGCATAAGCACATGATGGCCCTAGCACTGCTCTGGAAGAAAGAAATATTGTGAGGAGATTCCTGTCCAGAAGCAATCTTATCACGATGAGGACTAAATATCATGAGAAACCAAAGAATTGATGTGTCTGGTTTTTGCAGGAATACACATGGTGTATGTTTTGGCTGAAGCTTTTGCAGACCTCCCAGACAGTCTTATCATGGGAGAAAGTGGTGCCAAGTGCTAAGATTGTGACACATTAATTTAGCAAATGTCACAGCTAAACACAAGGTGTGATTTTTGTTTTCCCAACGTGCATTCTACTAAATGTGGTAAAATTTACATATGTAATGATAAAGTTATACCTTACAGGCATATTTTATCACTGTGCTGTTTGTAACTACTCTCATAGCATCTCATTACCTTATGTTCTACAGAGACTGTACAGTCCCCGAACTATCACATTGCCATTTGGTTCAGTGCTGATATGTGCAGTATTAAACACACAGATAAGAATTCTTTGACATAACAATTCATAATGAGTGTTGGATCACGTTCAGAATGATTATATTGTGCCTTGTTTTCTTAACCTGAAAGCAAGCCTGCTTTTCTGCTGCTAATGTGATTATTGTACTTCCAATTACAGTAACTGTAAAACTGATTACTGTTGTTGTTGAAGATTGAGCGAGACAATTTGAATGACCAACACTCTCTTGAAATGTGAAAATGCGTCCTCATTAAGATTTGCTATTGGCCATGTGATCATATATTTCTGAAGTGCGAGTGTATGAATTTTTAAATTCAGACATCTGAATATAGTGGATTATACATTTGAGAAGTGCATTTAGTTTTGCTATCCAGAGCATTAACAGAAATACTGATTCTTCAACTTTCCTTTTGCTTTGTAATCAGTACCAATATCAGAATTTCCTAATTCTATTAAATAAGAATTAGTCTTCTGCTAAAAAAACCCTTACCACCCAGTAATGTTTCTAGATTTTCTGTGAATTTACTTGAATGTTGGATGATAC